CCCCCCCTCGTTCGCTCCTTGCTCGTAATGGGACACCTGTCCTGATTTACCGGTAACGCACTCATTCGATTGCTTTGCAGCCACGGCATACATCCTACAGGGGAATGAAGGGAAGAAAAAAAGAAAAGAAGAAAAGATGGACATCCGGGACTGACCTGCCCTACAGCAAGGCTGCTTGCCACTTTCGCCTTCCCGCAGGCTTGGCGGCACGCGCTTGAGTTACCCCAGGTCACTTCGTCCTCACACTTTTTTCTCCCTTGAAGCCTGTCAGGCGTGCGGTCTGGCACAACAGAGAGAGAAAAGCCTAAAAGCTTTCCCATAACGGTTTCACTTCAGCCCAGTCCCCCCACAAAGGTGCGGGAGGTTCGGATCCCGCCCTATCATTCTCAGCCTTACAAGCCACTGACCGAAACCCAAACCTGCCTTACCAGAGGCCAGCCATTCACAACTTCCTGTCCCTAGCTAACCAAAGCAGGCATATCCGGGGGAACGAGAGAAAAAACAAAAAAAAATACCGGAAGTGTGCAAAGACTTCGGACAAAAAAGAATGAGATATACTTCCGAAATATCATAAAAAGGGAGAAGAAGGCGTGTGCACCGTGAGCCGCTGACGAAATGGGGACTCCGAAGAGCCCTAAACCTCCTCCCTCTTTCTCGTCCGTCTTACTTGAGTGCTGTCATGCTTTTCTGTCATCCCATTTTTATTCCTTCTCCTCATCACTGCTTCTTGGGGATGATGCTGCTGCTGCTGGTGATGATGATGATGAGGATGATGATGATGCCTGATATTTGAAGAGAACGGGAAACTTTTCACCTTAACAAGGGAAACCGCGGACAACTGCCTCTCCCCTTTGGCGCGTAAATGTGAGGCATCCAGTCCAGCACAACTCTGCCTACGGTACTGTGACTGGCCTGCTTCACCCGCTCCGCTTACAGTCTTCACATCTTCAGTGACACACCTTGTGTCGCCTCTTATCCCCTAGTCAGTATCCCTGTCAAGTAAAATATCGATTCGCATCATAACTACGGTAAGTATCGTAAAGTACGGTGCTGCGGTGGTGGTGGTAAAAGTGGAGGTGGTGAAAAAAAGAAAAAAAGGGAAAAAAAGGAAGGAAAAAGGAAAGAAAGAAAGCGAATCAATCTGCGCTCCCATACGATCGACTGACTCGCAAAATAGAGACGCCTGAGAACACTTGTTTGCAAGGAAATCGGGGGAGGGGTTGCTGGCCTACATATAGATAAAACGGTGGACGCGCGCGTGATCATTGTACTTAACTATCATACCTGTATCTATGTTTGAACGACTGGATGATAAGTATAGCAGAGATGCCCCTCGGGGGGGTGATGGCGGTCGCTTTCTGAAATGAAAGCGAGATACCCGTTCCGCGTAGGTAGACAGAGAGACAGACAGGGCGGGTAGGTAGGAAGGAAGGTATTAGTAGGTATTCCTGTATGCACAAGTACAGCACTCATACAATTATTATACGGCACTGCACAGTCAGATTTGTTACTAAAGCGTGATCATAACTTGTATTCACCCATTCAAGGTGTTCGCCTGAGCAGTCTCTCCCTCGGATCAAGTCGAGCTCCTCACACTCGTATCCATCGCTCGCTTCTGACCTGTATTTGTACTTCATTCTTTACTTTCTTTCCTTCCTTTTTCCTCCCTTTTTCCCCCTTTCCCCACGCCCTGGCCCATTTACTCGAGCGGTCTCATATTATCTGGTAAGTAAAACAATTCTTTGGGCTCTGCGTGACAGCTGACTGTAATGGAGATATGAGCATCAATGTGGCATAGGCGCAGAATGCCAGGCAGAGGCAAGCAAGTCCATTTACATGTAGACGCACCATGCATCAAGGTCGTGGCTCCAAGCCAGATTGAGAAGTCGAAGGTATGTATGCCCTGTCAGACGGTGCGACAATGAAATCAAGAGAGTGAAATACGGTATTCTCGAGAATAATCTTTTCAAGGGGTGGCTTCCCTGGCGTTACAAATTTTTCGAGTGCATGAGAGGTGTTTCTTGTTTGTTTTTAAAAGTGCATGACCGGCCTCCAGTGGTGCAGTTGAAGCCAAATTAACCGTTGGATCAAGACAATTGCAATAGCATGGGGTTTTGCTCTCTTCTTTTTTCTTTTGCTTTTGCACGAGCAACCATCTCCCTCCCAATGGAGACATCACGGAGATAGCGATCTGAAAGTGTGGCTCACCCAGACACCAACCTTCCTGTCCAGTGGGCTCCGCTTGCAGTCCAAGCCGGTGGATCGGGGCAGGGTTATGGGGAACCCAAGACAGGACCAATCCCGACTTGGATGGCTCTTACCTCACCGAACTGAGTGTTTTTCTTGTCTTTTTTTTCTCCTCAATCCCTCATTCTCCCAGTCTCTCATGAATTTTATAATATCATTTTCTTTTCCTTCGTTTTCTTTTATCCTGCCATCCCACCATGGCCTACGGTGAAGGTTCCTTGTCAAATGACCTTGTTGTACGAGTATCGTCTCGGACTTGAGAGGTTACAGTATGCGACGGCGCCAGCCCGGGTCTAATCGTGCAGCGCCCTACTACTCGTATCATGGTTGCTAGGTGTAGGTACTGTGCAGTACGAGTACTCGTACAGTACAGTACATACCGATACAGCAACTGATACTTCGCTGCGAGCCGCCAAGCGTGTACTTGGCCCTGCCAATAAGGTGATAGTAAAGATTGCTACGAGTACTTAGCGGGTGTCTATTTCGTTGTGCAGGTGATAGTGCAATTAAAATAATACGTGAAACGAACCAGAGTTTCTCGGGAGCAAGTGGGTTTGAGGTTTTGTGTGCCTGTCAAGAACAGGCGCAGGAGTAGAGAGAGAGAGGAGGCACTTGCGGTGCCTCCTGTGGCCAACAGGTATCAAAATCGTAGAGTGGAGGAGGAGGGCAAACGACCAAACGGCTCCCTCCATTTCTGGCGAGGCTAGAGGGTCCCAATGGAGGGGACGGACATTCGTATCGTTTCCTTGCGAGGCTGAACCTGCATCTGGATATTCTGCCTATCTGCTTGTAACTTTACGCTTCCTTCTTGTTTTGCTCCCGGACCTTCACTTTCACACCCCCTCTCCCCCCCCTCCACCCCCCCCCGTTGCCTTGCACCCCCTCCCCCTGCTCCTTATATACACACACATCTATCATCATCACCATCAGCAGCAGTATCGTTATAATACCTAGTGGCCGCACGCGCTACACATATGCTTCATACTTGTACATAAGGTCGTTTTGTCCCACCCCTCCCTCCCCCACGTCTCTGTCTCTGCTTGGCTCGTTCTTCTAGGCGGCTTCCATTTACCCTTCCAACCATCACCTCGCCGACCGACCGTTGGAATTGTTTCCTCTCTGTTCTTGGGGCGTGCTGCTTGGGGTTTGGTACAATTTGGGAGATTGAGAGAAAGTGGAAAGGGAGAAGGAGAATAGAAAAAAGAAAAAGAGAAAAAAAAAGGAAGGAAGGAAGAGGCACCCGTAGCTTATTCCAGCTATTAACCCCCCTGCCTTAGCTACCTTTCGAGTTAGTACCTGCGCCTATTCACAGCAGTTCATAGTACGCCTCCTCCCCCATACGCTCTCTTAATAACAACAGTGTCCGCTCCTTTCGGTTGCCCTCTGTTGCCTCGTCCCTTTCCTTCCCCTCGGAAAAAGTGCTCGCTACCCCATCAATTACTCGGTCGATAATTTCCTTGTGTCTGTATGTTGCGAGGCCTGGTTGGGAGTGAATTCGATTCAGCAGGAAGGATCTCCGAGATCCTTAGGTGGGCGATAGAGTTGAGGCTTGTGTGAAACCACCGAGAAACCAGACGAAACCAGTGCTCTCACTACCACTCATTGAGGGGAACGGCACCACCAGAAAAGAAAAAAAAAGTTGACCTGGCTGGTCTGTGCTTAGAGTATAGTCGCGACAGAGGGCGAAGGCAAATAGGGCTTGAAATGAAATAGCAAGTTTAGCACTTGCTCGGGTATTTTATTTCCTAGTTAGTTAACCCCGCCGCTTCCCTGCTTTTCAGCTGAAGCTGTTGCGGATAGCTGATCGTGCGGAAATCGCCTTCAGACGAGCTCACTTCCACAGGTTCTTCAGGATTAAACACTTTACTTCTTAGACCTGCGAGACCCTTCGAGAGATCCTAGTTTCCCCAACATATATATATATATATATTATCGAGATAGCATATTCTTCCAGGTACTCAATTGGGTGGATTCATGCAGGCCCTGACCCTAAAACTTTGTCCAATGAATCTAATCATCAATAAGATATAGAACTAGTGCCCCGTCGCCTGGTTTCGGATCTAGTTTACTTTGCTCACCAGTCGTCTTTCGTGATGACACTCCACCGAATGACAACAACAACAACAACAGCAACAACAACAAACCTCCCGTCCATCAGAGTACATGATCACCTCGCCCACAACATGGATATCAGCGGTGAAAGTTATAGATCTAAGCCACTCACAATACCTGCACCTAGAAACATTTCTCCGACGTCAAGCCGCGCCAGCTCTTTTCATGACCAGCCTCCACCATTACTTTCTTTGCTCCCCCCAAGCCGTTTCGAGGAACGACAGGCGAGTTGGAGGGAGAGTGATGATGGAGACGAACTTGTGCCAAACCGCTGGTCTGGTGATGTAAGAGACCGGCAATCCTCAAGTCACTCGGTTTCGTCTCCGCGAGGCTTTGGGAGAGGACCTCGGGGTCTACGGAATGCTTCACCTGGAAGCGTTGAAGAGCTGAATATTAAAAGAGAGTCCAGTCAATCTTTGCCGGATTTCTGTGGGAGGCAGAAGCCTCCAAGTCAATTGAACAAGGAGTTGAGTAGACCCGCATTACTGAAATCTACTTTTTTTTTGTAACATCTTTGGCCCATACCTCTGTCATAAAGGTTGACATCTGATATCCCTTTCCACATAAACCCTGACATTTTGCCGCCAACTGGTTATTTATCGTTTCTATTGCCCTGGGCTAGTTGGGACAAAATTATTGACATGTGCAATGACGCCCTGCGTATTAAATATAGCAGGCTCCATGGTGACTATTCTATGCGTGTCGCCATGCAGCTATCTGTTCGAGCATTTGACAAGGGCCTTATTGGGAAACTTAACGATAGTGCGAGATCGGCTCCTTCGCCATTACCGAGGCAGCGGATTACGCCCCCCCGCGATTCTCGGCCAGTGACTGTCGGCTCCTTGGGTGACGATTTGCCACTGCCGCGGACAACACGCTGGGATATTCCAAAGAGTCAGCCACGGGGTGGCTCAACCTCGAACACGATACCGATTTCGGGGCCTGGCTCACTCAATACTCCACCTCAGAGGTGGCTGCATACACCCTCGGTCGGCGATAACTCGGGGTTGGGGGCGGCGCCGGAGCAGCAACCTCCCGTGTTTCCACAGTTTTCAGATACTCGCAACTCTGGCGACAACGCAAGTGTATCGTCATTTATGACAGATAATGAGAGCTATCCAAATGCAGATTCACGGATGCGTCGATCGAGGAGTGCTTCTATACTTGCGTCTGGCTATGACGATACTCCATCAAGTGGTTGCGATTTATATCAGGAAGACACTGATTCGCAAATGGATGACGCGCCTTCTCATGTTTCCCAAATGAAGCGGCTTACACTTGGAGCAAGGACACCGCCAAAGTCAAATTCTTATCCTATTAACCATCACCATCAAAGAGCTGGTTCGAAAAGGCGAGCTTCATCGCCCCCAAATGAGGATAGGCAAATCGGAAGCTCGGAGCCTACTAGAAAAGGTCTACATTTGGAAGGTTATGGGAGCGGCGATATTTATGACCACAGTCGGAGAACATCACCAATACACCAAGGATTAAGGAACTCGCCAAAATATCAGCATTTTAATAATTCACCAATTCCCAGATCAGCATCAGGATCATATGCGTCTACTTCTATATCATCTGCGACAACATGGCCTGCATCCCTTGGTCAATTTTCTGCTGCAAGTAGCTTTACTACGGCTGGGGGTGTCTCACCAGCTTCCTCATTTTCCCCACAATTAGAGATGGATATTGTCGGTGACCCACCATTTCGGCAACCGCCGCCCTCAACGAGCGCAAAAGGGCCTAGCAGTAGTAGTAGGCACAGACAAGTTCCAGAGGCGTCCTCGGCACTTAACGGCAGAGAGAGAGAGGGTATTGCTTCAAAGCACCATTCAGCCCCGAAAGTGGGTGTATACATGTGTGAATGCTGCCCTAAAAAGCCGAAAAAATTTGACACTCAGATGGAATTGCAGTGCGTCCTATTTCTGAACCTTAGATTTTGATGTGTTCTGACAGATGTGTAGATTGCATGAAATGGAGAAGCAGTACGGCTGTCAATATTGCAATAATCGGTTCAAGAATAAAAACGAAGCAGAAAGGCACCAGAATTCACTGCATCTACGGAAACACTCGTGGTCGTGTGCGGCACTCTCAAGCAATTACCCGGCAGCGTTCCACGCTTCCCCTCAACACCCGTCCACTTGTGAAATATGCGGTTATTGTGGGAAAGAATTTCCGATGCCACCGCAATGGGATCAGCGAATTGAACATTTGACCGGGGAGCACAAGTTTGGAGAATGCAATCAGTCCAAAAAGTTTTATAGGGCGGACCACTTTAGGCAGCATCTGAAACACAGTCACAGTGGGACCAGCGGAAAATGGACAAACGTCTTGGAGAACGCTTGTATGAAAGATGAGATGCCACCAACCGCTGGCAGTCATCATGGCAGTATGGGGTCTGGCACCACGATGGCCATTTCAGAAGAGGGCTCGGAATAAAAAAGAAATCATGGGTAAAGCTTTTCTGCCATTTTTTGTTTTCCTTAAGAACTGTTTCTTTTCTTGTCTCATTTCCTCGCTCTTCCGGGATTTCAGGTCTGGTTTTTTTTTTTACAAAAAAAAAACAAAACACTTTGATTCGTCCTTCATGACCGCACATGTCAGAACGGGAAATGCGGTGGGACCCGGAGAATGGTTGGTGTCTTGAAGGATTTCCCAGCCATGCTGACTGCGTGCGAAACTGCACCTTGACGCGCGCTGACATCATCAATATGACCTGTGCGGCTATGGCGGACTTTCGGAGCAAGCGATAGACGCGGTTGATCCTGGTTGGGAAAAGTTTATTTATTTTATTTATCTTTATGATTCCCGATTTTCGATTGTTGCCTTGCTTTCCTTTACGGGCTTAGTGGCAAATTGGCTTGGGATGGGAACGAGGAGGAATAACGCAGTTTTTGAACGACATTTACGACACTTCTACGAATGAACAGCATCTCGATTTATCAAGCCAGGAGGGGGGGTTATCTCTTTGGGCGTTTTTATGTTTGTTTTATGAGCCTTTTTTCAATTTTTTCCCCCAAATCATCGTCTCTTTTCATGCTTTGAACTCTAGTGTCGCGACAGACAATGGGAGGGGAGCTCCCTTTTCCTCACTTCTTGCTTTATACCTATCTCCTCTCCTATAAACATTTTTGTTGAATTCTTCCTTTACCCTTCATTTTAGGGTTTTAATCTTCCGGAGTTAACGGTTTGGCGGAATATTCTGTTCCGAAGCATTTACCGGTATTTTTCTTCTTCCCCATTCCCTTTTGATTGTGTACTAAATCGCAATGCGGCCGAATATCCATCCATCACCCTGTTTTCCTTCCATCCTCTCCTCTCTCCCTTCCTCCTACCTCGATGAGTTTTGATAACTAATCCCTGGAGATTGGAATTCTGCTTCGCCCGCCCGCTCTGGCGAGGAAAGGAAAAGAGAGAGATATCATACTTCCCACCCAAGCATTTCTTCCCATTCTCCCATATCACTCATCCCATCAATCTACCCTTTTCTTCCTTTTCTTACTAATCCTTATTATTGTTTCCTCATTTGCTTACAGGCGTTCACATAGGCACTGTTTTTCATAGAGGGGGGGGGGTTGTGTTGGCTGGAGGAGGAATTTGTGTTGTCGTTTGATCTAGGGAGTCACTTGGTTGAGCGTTATGCATGCAAAGGTTTCATGGAGGAAAAGTTGAAGGGGAAGAAAAAATGGTAATAGGGGGAAGGAGGGGAGGAAAGTGAAGGAAGTGAGGGGGGGTCATCTTCATTACATTTTGTACATTCCATTTTTTCCCCCTCCCCTTTACATACATACTTTGGCCTGGGTTGCCGTCTCCATCATATCGTACTATATACTATCATCACCACATTCTGGAGAAGCTGTAAGGGGGCGGGAGCGGGGATTTCGGCGTGTATATATATCTTTTCTTCATTAGCTATGATATTTACAGTACTTCCCTTGCTTTTCTTAAAATGTCCTCAACTGTTGACTTTTTGAGTCCGAGTTTGGCGGTGACTTCTCTTTCATCTTTCTCTCTGTTTTTGGTTTTCGGTCCCCGCTCTATTGGACGGGGATAAGATACTATAGGATGAATGATCAGACGTCGTTCAAAGAAGAAGAAAAAACCCGATCCACACCAAAGGTAGACGTGGGGGGGTATATGACAAAACATAAAAATGGAAGGAAGGAAGGAAAGAAAGAAAGAAAGAAATGATTTCCAGAACAGGTTATTTGATACACGGAGTAGCACTCGATAGTGTAGGTTATTGGAACGGTGGTTGAGGTGGGCACGAGATGCGCAGGGCTGAGTGAGTAATGATATGGTATCGTACCGGTATGATATGTGTGTGTATATTGTAGTGTATAGGGCTCTCGATGAACCGGTTGATTGGGAAATAGGGGATCAAAGGGTGGTGGCGGGGGAAGAAGGATGTCCTTGAAGGCCAGGCTATCATAGCTCAATCAATCGGTAAAGCTTGAGACTCTTTTTATCTTTTCTTTCAAAAAATCGATTAGGGATTATCTCAAATGCAGCTAGCTCTCTCGACCCCACGTTGGGAATTTACTCCTCTTTTTTTCTTCTTTCTTTTCTTTTTTGGTGAGGGACTGCTGTGTGAATGTCTGAGTATAGTAGTCCATAAGTTACCATGATATTCGTACCCGATTCGGGGTATGACAGTTGTACCGCTACGGCGTAAAGCGCACCATACCAAGCCCGTCGGTTTCACCGTGGAATGCTTCTTCGCAAAAAAGGGTTTTGGGGAAGAACCCCCCCCCCCCCCCGAGTTCGATTCGCCGTCACGATAAGCTACCTTACATCTCGGACAGATCAGAATGCGAATCACCCGCTCCTTTCCAATCACATTACATAACCGAATGAATAACTTTTTCACAGCGCTCTCCCACTATCTAGTACTTCCGGACGAATGGGGGGGGGGGGCATTCCAGTCTTCGCCGCATTGATAGCGTCGATCTGGAACGAGTACTTGCGAGCCCACTCACTGCAGGCATGGCATCGTGCGGGTACCGGCGAGCAGAAACTTGGCTATATAGGAAAAAAAAGCGTGTACTACTAGTACACCTTTCAGTGAAATGATCCCCTCAACCCCCTCTGCAAATTGGTTTTTCTTGCAAGGCAGTATTTCGAGGCTTTTCTCAACCCTTCGCTGGCACTTCTACTGCCTGTTGGGTCTGTTGGTGGTTTTTGCCAAGGGGGGTTCGTTTGGTATGCGCTGGTGTGTGTGATACTGGCGTCTATGTTGGCTTGGATTTCGGCGTGGGTGACGGTTTATGGAGGGCCTTGGAGGAGGGGGTATCGAGAGTGGATGTTATCTATCATATCATACTGGGGGAATTCCGGATCGGGCTAGATGCTGTCATGGTCGCGGAACCATATCATACTTTGGCCGTGGAGGTTCGATTGAATGCTTTCATGAGAGTTTACTTTCGAATATTATCATCGCCTCGCTAGCTCAATCGGTAGAGCGTGAGACTCTTAATCTCAAGGTTGCGGGTTCGACCCCCGCGTGGGGCTTCAGGGGAATACCTTTTTGGTGCGAATCTGTGTCTATTTTTTATACATCGTAAATGTATATATATTTTTACCAGGAACAGGATGGTAACGATGTTGCTTGTTTTCCCTCTCGCTTGCTGCCCTACCATGACAGTTTTTTGCCCCCTTGCATGGAGGGAGGGAGGGGGGGAGGGGGGGGAGGATCACTATACGCACTACTCGGGCTCTTGCGGAAATACAGTAGCTTACTGGGATTTGCAGTACGGTAAGACACGGCACTGTACGGTACTCGTACTGCAGGTCTGCTCACGGGGTTCCACCAGGAGCTTATTTGTGCTGCGTATGTACGTATACACATACGAAACGAGGAAGGGTTCTGGTTTTGGTCTGTCTGTAGGTGCGCGTAGGTATGATACCGTGTTTATTCACGGGGAGGTCGGGAGTGAGGGGTTTGTGCTGTTGCGATATTCACGGAACCACTGGTACCACAGTAGGAAAAGATGTAGGGGCCGATATCGTTTCCCGATCCTCTGCTGAAATCTTTTCTATAGCCCCCATCCGCAGCTGCTGTTGCCTAACTCATAGCGAGAGCCCATTCTTCTAGGATTCAGACTAGACTCCAGAACCTAGTAGGCCGGCGTTCAGACGCATGAAACTGGCATTCGAGAGGATACCTCTTCATTGCTGCGCGGTCAGCCCAATCAACGGGGCGCGGGGCTCTCAGAGATCCTTCAGGGTCCATCCATCTCAAGTTTTTAGGTTCGACCCTCACGTAGGGCTACTCAGAGTACCTCTCATATCATACATATCCAATTTCCTTTCTCCCCCTCTTTCTCCCCACTCCTCCACCTCCTCAATTTCTCGAAACACTAGTGTACGTCCCCTTACCCCACGGGACTAGTTGGTGCATTGATCCAAGGAACAAATACTCAAAGCCCGAGTAAAACAACTAGTCATGGGCTCAAAGAGCGGGAGATAAGGTAACGACACAGTACTCGAGTAAGGCGTGCAGGAAGCATGTGGCGTTGGTGTTGTTATCGCTCATGTGGTTGTAACCCTCTGATACCTCCCTGGCCTTGCCGCCTTGTCCTAGCTTACGGCGTGCTGGGAGGACGAAGAATGAGAAAAGGGCAAGGAGGAAAAATGAATAGGGTGATTAGGAAGAGAGTGCCAAACAAACTAGCGACACCCTCTTCCGCCTCCTAGGAGTTCTGACACCACCAGATTTAGGGCTGCTGACGCTTCCGGGATTTCCGAGATGTGTGAAGTGATGCCTCCCATCCCAGACAAATTGATTAAAATACTGCTTCACGATAGATCACTCGAGTGTCATTGCAAATGTTTATGGTTTTTCCGAGCTAATGGTCTCCAGGATGTCCAAGAAAAAAAGAAAGTCAGATGCCTGCCACCCCTGCTTGCATCTGCACCCGGGAGCCAGCTATTCCAGTTGGAACGCTTGAACTCCCAGGTTTCGATGGATGGATTTCACTAAGTTACCGGTATGGGGCAGACTTCAACCAGAATGGCCTGGTTTGATGCCGCACGGTAATTGTTTATCGCGGCATTTTCCGATGGGTCTCTGTAGGGCTGGGTAAGGTTGAAAAAAAATCTTCCGGTTTCCCCGCTTGCGGGATGCGGAATAGCGTGTGTGGGTGATGCGGAACTTCCCTTTGGCCGCAGGAGGGAGGGAAGAATGGTCGAATACGAGTGCGAGAGGACAGGTGTGAGTGCGTGAGTGCTTGTACGGCTCTCGGTATCGGTGTGGATTAGCGGGTGTGGTGGTGGGTGGCGTCGATAACATTGAGATTTGCACTTTGGATGAGGTGGCAGTTTCGACGGCTCCGAATGATCCGCGTTCTGCGAGCTCATGCGGTCGACTGCGACCCGAGATGCCCTTCGGCGCAGTGGCTGCCGTATCGGGTGAGTGGGGGGGGGGTTGAGTCGCGTTTAAGCTTAGGCTAGCGCAGCCCTAAATACTGCACAATTGTGCCAGCCTGGTTAGCGGTTTGGCAGCGAAAACAGGTTCTCGTGATGGATTCTTGAGGGATTGTGCTCTCACGGTATCATTCCAAGGTGTCTATTCGTCAAATTATGCGGGAAATTTGTCCAGCGATCTCCGGGGAGCCTTGGAAATCCTTGACCCACCATCTTTCTTTTCGTGAGATTCTGATAAGGCACCGGTACTCGTATTCGTGGTAGCAGGTTCTCCGAAACGGTGCGATTGAGGTGCAATAATCCGACCTACTAGCGCCAATTAGCTCTGTGACCCTATCTGCGCAATGGTGATCTAGAATACAGTGTCTAGGCTAGGGCTCAATCGAAGTGTCCAAACTTGATTGGACCGTAGTGCAGTCTACCATACCAAACACATTCTTGTCTATCATAGAAGTTTAGCAGAGCGGGGTAGGGTAGCATTGACCCTTCCTGAGCTTCTGGCGTAACGGCAATCTCCGCCGATACGCCATATCGGGGCCGTAGTGGGCTCCAAGGCTTGCGCAGTCCAGCAAGGTGTCAAACCAAGACTTGCATGAGCTCTCAAGTCCTATTAGTGGGAAAACCCTACAGCGCCATCCCCTCAGTTATAACTCGATAGCCAAATCGGAACAAATTAAGTTAGCCTCTAAGACGGAACCTCACATTGTATCGTAGGTGCGATACCCCGAAGATCCCGGGGCAGGCAAGCGCAGTGTCCCCGGAATTGAGAAGGGGGGGGCCAATCGGAGCGATGAAGGTGCAGTGACGGTGTGTGCTGAGGAAAAGAGCATTAGATGAAACCTGGATTCTTCTACCGTAGTCTACTCCTGGCAGGTTCCAGACAAACTTCCCGTCAACGGTACGAAATTATCCACGGACCAACGTATTCCACAGCATAGAGAGAGAAAACATGCAGATCCGAGTGACATGGGCTCAAAAAAGTTGAGGTTTAGTCAAGATTGCAACGTTCGTTGTTGTGCCGGTACTGTTCGGGTGTCCAGCTCGCTATTGCTACAGAATGCGCCAATGCCCCCCTCCGAAAACAGCAGTTCCATTCCATTTCAGAAGCAAAAAAACCAGTTACCCATGATACAGCACAGCACAACACAACACTGCCGACAGCACTCCCACTACCACTACGATGTAAGTGGAATAGCCGGTTTAGCCAAGCAATGAGCCTTACTCGAGTACGTTAACCAACGGTAATAAAGAAGCACTCTAACCAACTCAACATCCCACCAACCACCACATTAGTCCAATTCGATCCCGAGATTTCACACCACATCGGTGATACAATGCGACAACTACCGTAAAACCACTATCCAAGCATATATAACTTGCACGAAAACATCCAGATCCCCAAGAAAACATTCCAGGCGGAACCACCTACACCGATGCTTGATCACAAGATATCATGGAGCTCCCCCTCCCCCCCCCCCACCACCACCCCGCTATAGCTGAAGCGGAACCCAGAGACACATAATTACACCAAACTTCACAGTAGCGCAGCTTCAGAAGGAAAAAAAAAAAAAAAATCACCCCAGGTTCAACCTCCCGGCGCACATCAATGGCGGGAAAGACCGGCTTCACACTTCCCCATTTTGGAGGCCGGAAACACCGGAAAGCGTTACATTCTCTCTCCGACGCATCCTATTCGTCCGTATGACAATAGCGCCAGAACATCCATCATGACTCGCCTCGTGGCGCATTTTTCCCAATGAATAGCCGTTGCAGATATATGCAAGCTAAATTAAGCCTAACTAACCGATTGCGAAGGATAGATAAGTGGTACCGTGAAAGGAGAAAAAAAAAAAAAAATTTCTCTCTTTCACCTGCCGGAAGGCATATATCTGGTGATGATGATTCGGACTATCAATAAGACCGCGTTCACGGGTTTGAACCGTGATATTAGGATGGTGCTTTTTTTCACAGTTCCCCCCCCTTCGAACCACCAATGCTGTCGTCTGATAGACTTATGGTCTGCATAGCTACCGATAGGCTACCGCCAGCTCATAATCACGATGAGATATCATCATCACGCAGCTCCCTGCTGTGGATGTGTGCCGGTAGATAATAGCTATCCTAATCATACTCGAGTGATACTTTATGAACACTTGCAGGCCAGCCCCTCACATGAACCCCACCCATGAAGTCTTGCGCGATAAGATGTCGTGCGGGAGAGATACCATACCCGCCCATCAGATAAGACAGCTTATCCCTAGATATATACCTGCAGCATGCAGGATGGAAATGTCTGATGACCGAACGCTCCAAATAGACATGCTGATGGATAGAGCTCGAGCTGTAAAAATCTTATCCGCCAATTTACATTTTGCACCCCATCGTCCCGAGCGTCAGGGGCATCTCCCTCCGGGATATACATCTACAAATCCCGACATATTGAAAGAGAAAAAAAACCCACTCCCGACCCACATCCCGAAACAGCCGGGTTCAAGAACCTCAGCTTCTCCAGTTTTCCCCAGATATACTGTACTACTACGATACTAATAACAGGCCAGATCGGACGTAATCCCGATTAGCCCCAAAATGTCCCACATCTCCCCCCCCCCAATAGGCCCATCAGAAATGTACCGTGGAGTGAGGCACCAAACACACACAAGCATCCCCCACAAATCCCCACAATCGCAACCAGCCCGACAAACTAGTGGACACACAAGCCCCAACCCCATGACTCGAACCCAAACCCCGCTACGTCCCGAACCACCCACTCTCTCCAGCGACGGTCGTTTAGGCCAGCCGAAGCCAATCCACTCGTGCTTCCCAAGCCGACAGCCAGAGCTCTATATACGATAGCCCATCGGAAGCGCGGTCGGGGGTGTGTGATCGAGTGAGGCTTCATGACGACCAACCAATCCACGGATGGGATGGACGGATACGCCGCAATCCTGGAACCCCCCGGCAGTTTCCAGGGGAGAGGATTCGTCTCGCAGGGGGGCATCGAATATTTATATACATTATCGCGTCGACCAGTCATCGGGATCCGCATGTCCATGTGGTGGTGCACCTCGGGAAACATGGGACGGAAGAGATAACGGTGAGGGGAGGGAGCGAGCGAGTAAAGGGTCCAATGCTGGTCGTAGGCGGGAAGGAAATCAGGCCGCACCGCAAATGCCCAGCGAAGTTTATACGATACGATATCACCGTACCCACGAGCCGAGTCGAGGCAGTCGGGTCGAGTGGATTCACCATACCCACCCCACACTTGCACACACGCACACGCACCCCAACCACCTCCCCGATCAAAACTCCAACACAAATCGTGCTCACCACTACCTCCCCCCTCTCCATTGCGCACTTTGAAAAGGCCCGCCCACGGGATGGGGGGAGTATAGGTGATAACACCACGATTACCAATATCCAACACTTCCAATGATAGCAAACCCTCCCCCCGTTCCCGCCCCTAACTACGGTACGTGGGACTGTCCACGACAATCACGCGCGGTCACTCGTCGACTCAACGTCCTGATGTGATGTTGCACATGGAGTGCAGCGTTCCAGATACTGTACTCCCACTGTGCTCCCCTTCACCTGATTTCCATTGCCCAACGTGAGAGCACGAGTAATACACTGACAAGTGCGCAGACCGGACAGAGCGGAGCAGACCACGTCACGGCAGTACAAGGAAAAGTGCGGTAGGTAGGCAGGAGTACACTCCTGCGCGCTCAAGAGTGCAAAACGCACTTCAAACGGAGACGCTTCTGTTCAAGTAGGCATATTTCCCCTCTTTCTTTTTGTTTCCCTTCTCTCCCTTTGGGGACATATTTGGGTATTTATTCTATCACTTTATTTGACAGGCCCGAGCATGTGGGTCCGACATAAACTATACATTTTGGGGGTGTTTTATTCCCTGTTTCTTTCATTCTTTCGCTCCGCTCCTTTTCTTCCACCTCAATCGCCCTTTTTTCCATTTTTCAGATTGTTTCCCACCACGCAGATAGGGTGCATGGGAATTTGCACAGCGCTCCTGAAAAAGAAGGAAATAAAGGAAATACTTCTCATCACATGTACCGCACCGTGCTAGACGAGAGATAGAGGAAATGCCGAAAACACCGTCTGATCATTCCATCAGAAACCAAGGGAAATAATGAGAAATAGTGTGGAAGAGAGGTATGATAGGAGGGAAAAAGAATGTGAAAGAAAGAATCCCCCAGGCTGGGCCAGACAACCAGACAGCCCTCGCACAGCCACTTGGCTCTACTATGATAATAATATGATGTGAATTAAAAACATGACACCCCATTTTGAGAAAAGAAATCCATCTAAAAATCAAAAGGAAATAGCCCCCCAATCGATATCGCCAACCGTCTTTTTAAAAGTGTAAAAAATGTAACAGGTAAGAAGGATAAAGGTTTATACAATGTAGGAGTAAAAAAAATAAGGTAAAAAGAAGCAAAAAATCTTTCATTTACACGTACGCCCGAAAACCCCCTAGGAAGAAAACGAGATGAAGAAACAGTTCGTAATTAGATGGAAGGAGCGTAATTCATCATCGTCACCGTCGTCATGCACCATTGAAAGCAAGAGATAACAATAGAAGAAACGTAACTTATAAAACAATGGCAAAACCACAAATCATTTGGATAGAGCGCGCTCCGAACCCTTCATGCTATGGCCGTCACCGCCCGGAAGAATTGTAACTGGTATGATCGGTGATATCGGGTAGCTACCACCCAGACTATCGATGCTAGATACGCTCGACATCGCCGAATGCTTGACCTCCGATCTCCTCGCAGCCTCAAGAATTTTCTTCGACTCCGCAATGCGGTGCTTCCAGTTCCTCTCTTTGTCCTCTTTTTGAAGCTCGACGTTTCGGATCTCCTGCGCACTCGACCACCCACTCTCAATCATGCGAGCGCGCGTAGCGTCATAGGCTTCCAAGTCCCTATTCATCTCCTCAATCATATCCGCAAGGGAATTTGCAGTGACAAAAGTGATCGGAGATGCTAGTTTCTTCGGCGCAAGTGGTGTGGCCGGGTCAATGCTAGGAACCTTCCTATGCGTCATTGATGGGGCTGGCATACTGAGCGATGTTTGCGACGTTGACGCTAGGGAAGGTGAGGTTAAAGGAGAGATCGTCGGAGGATGCAAGGGAGAGCAAATTAGTTCGGATGGGACTGGTGAGTTGCACATTTCCGGAAAGACATCCGTCCCCCCGAAGCTAGGAGTGTTTAGAACCCTCGGCGACTGAAGCGGGGACACGATATCTGTTTCTCCTGCAAATGTTGCTGCTGGGTGCAGCAGAGGCGGTAATGGCGCTTCCGCTTCTGCAGCAGAGTAGATGCTCATACCATCATCTCCGGCCAGTGACTTCTCGCTGGGGCGCCTCAGCTCCCGGAAAAAGTGCTCCAAATGATCCTCCGGCGGTGTTCCCGGAGAATAGTAAGCTGAGGAAGTAGGCATAGAAGAAGCCGAGGGGATTGATGGAACTTGAGGTGTATTGTTTGGGCTCGACATCCTCCGCTTCAAACTCGTCCGTATTTTAGGAACAATCATGTTGAGGATAGTCGCCGCACGACTCCGACCTGAACCACCTTCACTAGATGGCGATTGGGGTAGGGAAGGAGGACCCGAAGAAAAACATTCCGGGTCGATAACCAGTTCACCAGATCGACGAGGACGTAGGATGGGGGAGTCGATAGTCGAGAAATCAAAGTCCTGTTCTCCAGCTGCAATGGCCATTAGTCCTCGTAAAGCACATACAAACCCGCAAAGGCAAAATCTTACATTGAGAAGGGGGAGTTGGGGGCATTGAGTACTGTTCCCCGTTGATGTGGCTATTCTGGAATTGATGGATAAGATAATCGTGGTCAAAAGACGGATTGCCTCCTGTCGTAACGTGCAGTCTCTCCGACAAGTTTCTTGCCATTGTCCGTCCACTAGCTCCATCCACCAGTGTCTCAAACCCTAGACCACCCAAACCATTTACGGTACCATTGACAGTGCCACCACAATTGCAATCACACAACTCATCATCTTCCTCGTCCTCCTCTCGAATTGACGGCGGGGCGGTTATCGGCGACATGATATCTAGCACTTGAGGCTTGAAAGGTGAAATGTCAGTCGGCGTGATTGGGGTTGTCATCGCTGTGTTGTTGCCAGCTTCATAAGAGGAGTAGGGTGTACTGATGACAGAAGAGCCCTGGGAAACAGGTCTGTACAATTCGTTGTCTAAACTAACCCTAGAAAAGATCAAAGCTTTAGATGATCCAGCGGGTTCCAGAGGCTGAAGTTCGGGTATCCCACGTCTCTCGGACAGCCTTCGAGGGTTATGAGTCGTAGAATAGTATGAAGCCATGACGGTGTTTGCGGAGAAGCGGACCGCAATGGCAGCTCGCTTCCTTCAGATGGGGAATATTGAAACGACTCAGGATGATGAATATTGCGGGAGCAGTTCCAAAAGACGGGTGGATGTGAACTTGATAACAAGGGAGGAGGATGGGAAGGGGAAGGGGGTGTGTGGGAGGTTGAAGGGGGGGGGCAGAGTGTGGGCGGGACAGTGAGGAGGCGCCAATTGATTTGATTGTCCTGACAAGTTTGCCTGTTGGATTGCTTTTCTTCTCTTCCTGCAAGACTTGCGTGGCACGATTCGAGTAGAACAAGGTTACCGTTTTCGGCTCTTTTCGGTCGCGTGGCAGTAAACCCAAACAAAGAGTTCACAGCGGATTGGGGAAATAAGGAAACAAGAGATTGAACAAAGGCCCGTGTATAAGATAGACGAAATCTGGGAAGGGCGAGGAAGTTGTTCGCCAGATATAATGATCTGGTGAGTTGTTGGTTAAAGGGTTGTGATAATGACTGTTTGTTTACAGGGTAATTGAAGAAGCCTCAAGAGGAGGATATAATTTTTTTTCCAACCAACACAGTGCCTTGAGAGGATGATTCACGATTGACGTTGATGAGAAAAAGATGGCGAATCCAAAGTTGTGCGAAGCGGGGTTTGTAAAGGCGCGAAGATGACTGGAATTATTGCGAGACAAAAACGCATGTATATCGAAGGCAGGTTAAAAAAAAAAAGAAGGTAGGGCACGATATGATAATATGAGGATTAGTGTACGCAGTGGGAAGATGGTTGGTGGTAGTAATGGTGGTGACGGTGGGCAGCTGTGGTCGTGATTGCGGTTTGTGGTTGTAGAGGCACGAGGAGGCGGTCCGTCTTGTTGAGGTTACAAAAGTGTGGAGGGTTTGACGGACGGTGGAGGAGGACAAGCCTCGAGGATGAAATAACTGGCCGGGCTGGGAAGCACTTATTGGCCCAGAGTGTTGGTATAGGGAAAGAGAGTACCACAGGTCCAGAAAATATTGTCAAGGGTATGCTGTGTAAGGAAGACGTCGACGGAGCAGAAACGAGCAGCGAGCAGCGAGCAAGCAGGATTCAGCGGGCAGCTCCAGGTTAAAGCAATTGCGAACGGAGCAGAGGCAGAAGCAGTGAACAGAGGTGATGGGATGTGTCAGGATACATGGGTTCGTGGGAGATGATGGTGGGTGGGGGAAGTCGACTATGATACTCTCTCTACATACAGATGTGCCCGCCGTGATGGTGATGATAATGATGGTGATGGAAGGATAAGTTGAAGCACATATGAAAAAACGAGGACATGAAAATGTAAGGGTGGGTGGATGTGATTAGATGTGGGCGAGGGTATTTGATTTGGTGAGGCAGTATAAAGTTGTGTATGATATGAGCACAGTAACGTAACTGTACTGTACTGTACAGTACATACGGTACTGCTATCACACAGTGCCGGTAGCTGCCTGAACTATAGCGTGCGGTAATCTACTATAGGCAATGAGGCTGCACACTTTCCTCCTCTCTTCTTTTCTTTTTTCTTTACTTTTCCCTCTCTTCCTTTTCCTCCAATTTCCACTGTTTCCTCTCTCCCTCTTCCGCTGTTGTGTATCAAAGGTTGAGGACAAAATGGTCGAGGGACACAAGGAAGAGCGGATGAAGCACTTGACACAACCCGAGGAGACACGCTAAAAGAGAGACACACAGAACCAGTTGGGAGAAAGCCCACCAGCACTAGTACTCGTACAAGTACAGACTACGTTTGGCCTTCGAAGCTTCTTTCTTGGAGGGAAGAGAGGGAAAGAGTGGTTAGGGGGGATTTGATTCGGGGGACGCGACGTTGGGACATGGGGCATTTCCACCACCAAACTCGATTGGACTTTTCCCATTTATCCCACCACCGTCAAACCCAGTCCCCACTGGTCCAATCAGTAATGGGGCCCAATTCCCACCCCCGCTCACACGGCTGCCATACCAGTACGATACACCTTTTTTTTCCTAGTGGATCTGTGGCCCTGCTGCTTTTGCCGCACGGCACTTGATTCTTCAGCATTCTTTTTTTCTGTTTTTTTTTTCTTTCCCACACGCCTCCCTTGCCCGTCCCTCCCTCGCTCACTCGCCCAATCCTCACTCCTTCCTCTTGTTGACTTGACTTAACACCCCCCCCACCCCCCAAAAGAAAAGTGGGAAAACGCTGTGCTCGCTGAATCAAGTCTCTAACAGCCCTCAGAAGGGAATTCAAATGGGCACAAAGTGCGGGATGGGTAGAAGTGCGGCGACGCACGTAAAAGAATGCCCCTTGCCGTCAACTTTGTAAACCAAACGAAGTGCATCCCCGCCAGTTGAAACAGTCACACACAGTGCTCGTGAAGAGGAATTTGGAGGCTATGGCCGTGAACACCCTGTGATAATGACAGCAAGAAAAGAAGAAATGCGACCAAACCTGATGACTATACCGTTCACATACCGTTCACCGAGAGGGGGAAACTTACATATACCCCAGGTGGCAGAGAATGTGGCATGCATTAGCTACACCTGTATAAGTGAGAACCATTGAATCCACTCCCCAAATACGGCAAACCCCCCCAAAGCGGTTCTCAAGCTTAAAGATCCCCCAACCTCAGAACTAAGCAACGCCAAAGCTCCATCATAAACTCTCGAGAATATAAAGCTCCCAAATATCTCGACGACGACGACGACGACGACGACGACGGCGACCTCCGAGCACCCAAGAAACGAGCAGATATCATAACGGACGCAAACAACGGTGCCGTAACAAAAAAGAAGAGAAGAACAATTGCATGGCGCTATTTCCCTCACCCGACGGCTAGTATCGAAAGCCCAAGCCAAGCCAAGTCAAGCCAAGTCAATCCCAAGTTGGGCAAGAAAAGCAAGTCGTTCTCGCGGATGATCATCCGCGTTCCCAGTCCTCGGGTGAATCCAAACTCGTGAACGCGGAAGGAGGGAGGGACACCAGGGCTAAAACCAAAACCGGTGCTCCGCGAAGGGAACGGTTCCTTGCCGCCCATCCATAGGGGGAAGAAGAGGAATGGTAAGGATCACTAAGAGGGAAAGGGAATGGGGGAGAAAGCAAAGAGTCCATTTCCGCATACGGCACAAGTTGATTGTGTACCGTGCCGTATTAGTTCGGCCAAGCCGGAGACAATAATTGTGCTCTACGGTAATTGACACTTGCTGGGTTTTGTTTCCACCCTTGGGAAACAGGGACAACGATAATCCCTACTGTGCTTCCTTACAAGCGAAGGTGGGCTGGTTAGCGAGAGGAGGGGGGGATACGCAGTGGCAGAAGATGGAAACAGAGTAGAGTCTCCAGGAGTGGAGTCTCTAAGAGCCAGAGTAGGAGCCACAAGGGGACAAAAAGGGCCGGAATCATTGTAAGACATAATCAACCCCGTTACCCGTTTACCTGTCGCAATTGGAGACATTTCCACGCCTTGTTGTTTTCTTTTTTTTTTTTTAAAAAAAAAAAAGACATCCCCAATCCGAGTGACAATCTATAAACCACAACCACAACCGCTCACCATACCACCGAGGGCGAGGGGGAGAGAAAGTAGGAAGAAAAAAAAAGCCACAGCCCGGAAAGAAAAAAAAAAAAAAAACTCACCGGCCGGCATAAATTACGCCACGTCGGGACCGCAACGGCTCCAGCCAGCCATCCAGCAGATAAGGCGAGACAAGACATGTCTCGGACGCTTCTCACCCTCTCACCTCTATCCATCCAGCGGTCCATGAAGAACGAGCGAACAGAAAACCCAAATTTGCCAAACAATGCACAAATCTATAGTAGTAGTAGTACCAAACAGGACCAGACCGTCCGCCTACCTCTCGCTCCCTTCCTTATTTGCCCTGCTCGTGCCATTCCATGCCATGCCACGCAACCGCAACTTCCTCACACAACCCATCGCCGGCGTGAAGTCCTCGAAAACCCTTCCAAAATGGCCCCAGAAGGAGCAGCAGCAATTAGAGAAGAAGAGGAAGGAAAAAAAAAAAAAGAAAAAAAAAAAGCCTTACCGCACTCCCAATCGGTACCATCCGCCGGTAAAACAAGGAAAGCAGGAAGGGATAAATAAATAAATAAACAATGTTTGAACCGGGTAAGAGGGTTCTCAAAATACCTGGAGGGGTTTAGGTTAGGCATTTGCCGTATTATGATACATACAGCATACGGGGGGGAGGGGGGTTTCCGCTGTGCGAGTATTATAGATATTTTTAAGTCGATTTGAACCAAGTGCTTACAATATCATACTTAACCGATACGAAGTATCGTACTTGGGATAGGGGTGGTGTTTGGGTTCCGGGTGATGTTTGATGGGGGAGCTTGGTTGGGTGGGTGTCATAGGTGGGGTGCTATGGAAAAGCAATTGGGGGAAAAAAACGATAGTATACAATCCATATCATACGGAATGATGATTGTTTCGTTTGGCGGTCGAGCGGGCGCATTTTTTTTTTTTTTTTTTTTTTCATTTCAATCCTGCGGGTGAAACCATGGGAAGGTCGTTTTCGTTCAGGGCTGGGCGTGCTGGGTGTAGTAGGGCTTGTTTGAGCTGGAGTTATGGCACGAATAGTACCGTGCGATGAAATGAGTTGTACAGTACAGTACTCGAGCACGGTAATGGAGGTTTGATGTGTGTGGGGTGGTACAGTACAGTGCAGTGCAGTGCAGTGCCGGCAGCTTCGAGACTTCCTGCTGTGCTTGTGTATATCATACGGGATCTGCCATTGTGCGTCAGCAAGAGAACCCGTTCATATTAGAGAAGGAGAAGGAGAAGAAGAGGAGTGACCCGCACGTGATATCAACCGAGCCGGCCTTGAACGGGGTGTCTATCCGCATTTCACCTATTGTATTGGAGCTTCTCCTCTTGGACTCCCAATCCGTTTTCTGAGAAGGCGAACTCTAAACTCGCCGAAGTAGAGATACCGCTCCGTTTGGGGATATAGAGAGGAGAGTTGAGAAGGACGGGTTTTCCTTTCTTCTTCCTTTAGGACCGGAGTTTCTTAAAACACGGACCTGTCTTTGAGTACTCGTACATATCATGGATATTGCTCGAATCGGGAAAGCCCCCCCTGGACCGTGCTGAACCTAAATTTTTCACCTTCAGAATAGCTCTATTATGACGGTTTCAGTACCTTGGAGCTAAAGCCATTGCGGTATAATACTTGTCAGTATCGTACTTACAGTGAAGTCCAAAATATCTAACCCCCCCCCAACTTCAATTCTCACTCGTATCCTCAGAAGCAAAATCTTTTTTTCTTTACTAAACAAAACAATGCCATCCATCAACCTCCGGCACCTTAAGACATGGCATAATCCCACTAGGCTAAAAAATAAAAATAAAAAGCTGAACAACACTGCCACATCCAAATGCCTATCTGTCGGTACCTAACATATCCCTCCCCTCCCACCTTCCGGTACCTTAATGTCCAACCTGTCCATCTGTCCATCATCAATCTCCCACGTTCTCGTACTAACCCCCTTCCCACCCCCCACCCCTCTTCACCCTCATTTATATCGTAGATCCAAACCCCGAGCGAACCGCAATCACCACTATCCAGCCAGCCAGCCAGCCAGCCAGACCGCCAGCTAGAGAAGTACCGAAGGCCAGCAATCCTCTGACCGACCGACCGACCGAAAAGTCAATGCACTCGAGTACGTAATCCCGGGGAATTTCTCGTGGTGCTTCGTTGTGTCACACGAGTAAAATATCTTCTCTTCTGTTTTGTTTTTTCCACAGGGGTGTCTTTTGCTAGGGGGATAAATGTTTGTGTATGGTTGTGGTGGTTGGGGTTGGATTGATAAGGTACGGTACGATCTATGATACCTGCCATGATTCCTAGCTCGTTTTATTATTATAGGCTTATGTACCTCGAAGGGGGGGGGGGTACGAATACTAGTAAAGTACGAGTACTACTCGTACAAGCGCCCCCCCTCCTCCATCTCCCAGATAAAAATCCTTGCCTCGTACAAGTGAGTATGAAAGAACCTACCTCCGACACTTGCCCGCGCGCTCTGTACAGTACTCGAGTACAGTACAGTCACCACTACTCGTACTGTATATAGTACGACCCTTCCACCGGAACGAACGCCTATCTAAATACGTGTTCCTAGAAACTGAAAAAGAAAGAAACCCCAATCTGCTTTGCGCCATCATCTGTAATTAATTAATTAATTATTTATGCCTGTGCTATGTGTGAAGCACTTTTCCCATGGCACGGTAAGTACGATAGGTAAAAGTATTATATATCATACTCGTGGGTAGAGTTATATAGTTTGCCGTGCTCGAAAAACGGATTTACTGTATGTTCTGTAGAGTAACTGGTATTTATCATCGTACAGTGCGAGGATCGGAGCAGATTTAGGTAAGTCCAAGTCGAAGTCTGTGGATCGAATGGGGCGGCGCACGTACGGTACCTGCTTTTCTGATTGTTCCTATCTACCTGCGTCGGGTAAACCGCCATCTATTTATCTAACTAGAACTAACTAACTATCCATCTATCCATCTATCAAACTGGAGCTAATCGGTACTTGAAAAAAAACAGCCACACCAAAAGTGGCACCGCAATTCCCGTATCGGTACTGCTAGATGGGTCCGGGTACGGTACTACTTACTGTACTACTACTACTACTACTGTTTACTACTACTTACAACAACACAGAAGTTTTAATGAATGCCCCCCCTGCTCTTGTCCCTACTCCCGTACTTGCCTTTTTTTCCGGTTCTTCGTCGATTCGATGGGCTGTCCATTCCATTCATCTATTCATCTCTCTCTTACTCTCTCTCCCTCTCGATCTAGCCTTGATCTACCTGCCTGCCCCCTTGCTACTAGAGATACGGTATGCTATTGCGGTAGAGTATACACGTATAGTACGTTGCTCAATTGGACTCTATAGACTCTACCCGTACTCGGTTGATAATGGTGCGGCGATGCGGTAGATGGACGTGCGAGTACGGTATAGTACACTATTTCATCACGGAGTTGGTCCGGGCGATAGGTATGCTGTTCTGTTCTTGGAATATTTGTCCTACAGAGCTCACGCCCCCATATCTGAGCGAATTACTAGTGGGAATTAGAAAGATTTGGCCCTTCAACTACTGTGGTTAGGATACTGCAGCCAAGCTAATTTGTACTCGAGTATATTGCAGCAAGTAAGCGAATTCGTAGGTATCTCGTTAAGAAAAAAAAAAAGAAGAGGTGTAGTAAAAACATTTTTCCATCAAACTACTGTAGCGTAATGATAAAGCGATCCCACTCCCCCACCGGTATCTCATTTACGCACGAAAGAAAGGGGGAAGAAACTGTAAACTAGAATAACTTAGGCCCGCCCTGATCGCTGGATGGAGGCCAGGTAAGCAAGTGAGCGGACGAGCAAAACAATAGTTCCACCTCGGTGATTTCTGCCCTCCTCAAATCCAGTACTTTCTCCAGATCTGCAATTCGGGATCCCCACCCTCCCACTGCGATTATCGTCAGCCCTCGGTAATAACGTTGTGCTAATGTAACCCAGCCTGCCCATTCCTGGATCCATTGATTCCCCACTTCAAGCCTTACTAGCTTCGGTTCTATAACAAGAACCCGCGAGTGGGGGCTCCTCGGGCTCGATGGGGAAAGGTAATCGATTATGAAAAGGAAAAGGGGTAAAATGTTTTGGGCCCACGAACCTGGAACTCAATTTCCGTCATGTCTTGAAATCCCTCATCAATGCGGGGCTTTATGAACCTTGAGGCAAAGTTCGTGAATGCTATCTTTGGAAGGATTTTGCGTTTCTCGGGGTTGACCTATAAATGACCGAATTACGATGTTCATCCCGTTTCATTCTTAGTGAAAAGTTTTTCACGCCAATGAGAGAAAAAAAAGGGAATCCGAAGCAGGGGTATTAGTAATTCCGGGTTGACAATAGCGGCAACCCGGGGGGGAGGGAAAGATAGGAGATGGGAAAATAAAGTAAGGTACCAATTCTCCTCCAAGGGCGCGCACAGCGTCATTGTGTTGGCAAAGGTCCGTTGGCGCAATAAAGTGAACACATCGTATCGGAACTTTGTGTTTTTTCGCCAGCGATATCCATGCTGCTCGCGTAGTAACGTCGGGATTTGTATTATCTGCAAGTCGGGATGCCGTCAGTTTTATCAATTTCAACCCTGGCTTTTATCTGGTCCAAATTGGCAAAATGCCGCATGTATGCGATGGTAGTAAAATACGAAATATCGGTAGCAAACTTGTGTGCATATCAACTTGTCGATGTGGGAGTAACAAAAGAAAAAAATCAGTGCAACAAGAAATGAAAAAAAGTAAGCAAGAACGTAAAAACCAGACAGGAACTCACCGACTGTAACACTCTTGCCACCTTCTAGCAGAGAATCAGAAACCTTAAGGCACCTATCCTTCGTCTTTAGGGTATCCTGGTTAACTCGTTCAAAGCCCAAGGGCTCGAGGTTCCGTCTGTAGAACGTGGACTTTCCCGCGCCGGGGGGCCCGACAAAGAGGACTATCTCTTGCTTACTAGACTTGGTGAATACTTTACGACAGCAACTGTTAACTAATACAATTCCACTTGAGGAAGCGATAGTCAATTCCATATTTAGAAACCTACCCAAGGCTTGAGGTTCGCTCTTGATATACTTCAAAGGGTCGAACCGGTGAGCCATAGACTTTGGCATCTTGCCCAAGAAGAACTCCTCGGGTGTGCGAAACCCTATGCCGACATTGGCAGCCCAGTGTCTGTAAAACATTTTAATCGGTCAGTTCCCGTTGGATCGAGTTGCTGCCCGCATCCACCTGGCGATTTAAAGCATGACCCTCACGGCATATCACTGGGACGAATAATAAATAACCCAAAGAAGGAGTAGAAATAAATGAAAATCGACACCCTAAGGGAAATTAAGTTTGGGGGAGTTGGCGTTCAGACAAACCTGTCACTGTCAGAGTGATCACCATCTCTCCCCGCAGCATCTCCGACCAGGTACGACGCATCTAGGTCTACGCCGTGTGCGTCCAAATCGTAATCGTCGACCATCTCTTCCCACATGCCCACCCTAGGCTTGCGATATCTATCATTTGCAGTCGCAGCATAGACCGTGACCGGAATGTCGAGTGAGTCTAGCACGGCGGCAAGTTTGAGTTTAAACTTTGTGAGATTACTGCTATCTTTTTTTGGCTGCTTGAGGAAACCCTGGTTTGTAAATATAACGATAATGTATCTGCGCACAAACACACAGGTCAGCAACCCCACCGCCACCCGGCGAGTTTGGCCAACGTAGACGGGGGCGTAGTAGTCGTACCCATCATCATGAAGTTTCCTCAAAGTATCTGGAACGCATGGACTCCACCATTTCCAGTCTGTGGCGGTCTTAGCAAACACATTCCCCGATTCTGTCGTGATCAGTGTAGAATCCTAAAGAGAAAGGTTGATCCCGCCCATCGTGGCATCGGCCGTTAGCTAAACCCAACAGTGCCGGCACCGTACATCCAACGCCCTTTGACATCCGAACGCGCTCCCCCCCCCACTCCAGGAATGTTGGAGAAACGCAAGAAAAAAAAAACTCTTCCCTTACCAGATCGAACCCAGCAACCCGTCTTTTTACATCAGACGCAGCCGGTTTGGTCTTATTCGGCGAGGCCCGATTAAAATATGTCCCAACGAGCAGTGTGTCATCGACAACCTTCCAAATAGTATGTTCGGGCTCCTTCTTGGAGGCAGGCTTGAAGAAGTTTACCACAGTCGCTTCTGTAAAAAAAGCACGATAGAGAAGTATTAGACTATATGTTCCCAATCCCATTCCCCCCCAAAAAAAATATAAAAAAATATAAAATAAAATAAAATAAAACCCCCTCCCAAATATTCTCGTTAATATGCCAAAAAATGTGCCGAGATATATGATATCTGGTGGGGTACTTTACGAGTAGTAGTAGATTGGACCTTCCGTTTAGCAGGAGGCGCAGAACCATCCGCGGAGCGCCTTCGTTTGGGGCTACCTACAGGCATGCTCGAAATGTAAGTAGAGGAAAAGAAAGAGGTGAAGACGCGATGGTGACGATTTCCGAGATGTCGGCGATAACTGTTGGGGTTGAGGGGAAGGTGGTGGTGTTGGTGGAGGAGGTGACTCGTTGACAGTCTCGGGGACAAGATGGTTGATGCGTTCGTGCGCAGCCTCATTAATAGACGTGAAATCGGGAGTTTTTTTCTTGTCGCTGGGGAAGACGCGTTCTCGCGACAGCTTCTGGATCACAAAAAGTCGGTATTCAATATATATGGGAACCCCTCAAAATGTTTGCGATGTTCACGAGTTTTAACGGGCACGTTATAGGGCTGAGCATTGTGTTATACGGTTAGATTTGTTTTAAATTTTAATTTCATGGTGCGGGGTGATGTTCTCTGTTGGATCATGTTCCGGCACTCGCAATTGATCCACAAACTGACTAACTACCCAGCGAATGATTTCGCTGGGTAGTAACGAGTGTGCTGATTGGTTCAAACTGCCAAAATAACCTCCCTTTCCCTTACTATCCTGTGCAACGATGGAACTTAGAGTCTGTATAGGTAAGAGGCATGAGCTGCTTGAAGACAGCTCAAAGGCTTGAAAGAGAAATAATCTTTGCGCGTTTGAGCATCCATACCAAATGGGGACTCAAATTTTCGGGTATCATACTTCGTACCAGATACTTATGCTCTTCTGTGTATCTGTCGTGAGCTCACAACTCTATTACTCGATCCCAAAGCCGGGAGCATCATATTCTTCATTTGATTAGAACCCGAATGGAAAACCTAGTACAAGTTACCCCGCGGGAGTCACCCTCGTCCCAAAAGTCTCCCAAGAGCGCCTTCAAAGGTACAAGAGAACCGACAAGGTTCAAGCAAAAAAAAAAAACCACTTTGTCCCTGCCAGGCATCGAAAACCTTTCCATTCCTATCTTCATCGTAAGACTCTCTCCCACGGCCCGGGGCCGTCGACATGGTCTTTGGAATCCCGTGACTCCGTCGCCCAGATCCGAGAACCCCCAATCGGCCACGAGGGAGAGCCAGGCATCCCAGTGTGAAAAAAAAAGGTAAGAGGAAAGACTGCCGCACCATGATCTCTCGTGCATGACTAGGTCACTCTGGTTTCCACCCGCCCCCGCCACCACTACCGTAGACCGCTCTTAAACCTGATCCCAATATATTGCCTCACATAACTACTTCCAGGTGCCCCCCCCACCATCTGCTGACATGCCTGAGTATCTTGTAATACTTGATGAGTAGGCAAGCCTCACGGTATGCGGGCAGCTGAGTGAGTGGGCCCGGAGTGCAAGTACGAGTACAGTACCTAATTAACTAACCAAATTAGAGGACTGCTTCCCTACCTGCACGCAGCATGGGGGGGACAAAGGCAAAGGATACAAAACACATCTGCGGGAACGTTATCAGGCGGTAATTACTTTTTCCTCCTCCAGTTCCTGTTCCTCGCATCCCACTTCTGCCCCCCCTCCCTGGTGAGAAAAAACAAACAAATGAAAGCGCACCATAAGCTGCTTTAGCCATTCCATTACCTACTTGAAGGGACTGTAGCTGAATTTTCGGTCACCCTGCCCTCCTCCTCTACGAGTAGCTTAGAGGCGTGAGACGGACGGACGGATGAGAGGGGGGGAGGGAGTGGATCGCGGAGGTTTAATTTCGCTTCTGCAGTTGCGTAGAGCGAGGCACGGTGCATCTACTTGGGTATGATATGATACTCGTTTTTGTTTTTTTGGAGGATGGCTGATGGTGATCGATTAGCGGGATTATCTACACTGCCGGTATTCGATGATACCGTATCAGTACTGGAGTACGGGACCTGTAGAGCTATTGCCGCATTTTTTCAAAGCTGGTCTGTGGAATACCTCACGTGATATCGTGTGGGAGAGGAATTGGCCAAAGGAATCGTGAGCGAAGCTTCTGATTGTGGCTTTTGGAGTTTGAAAGAGCAACATTATTCCTTCCTCCCTTACTTTCTTTTATCGCTGTTGAATTTTGATCTGGAAGAAGCGGGATGGCGGGCAGATGGGGCTGGGTCAAGGGGTTGGACGATACACCGCCACTCTTAACACAATCGGTTTACAGTAGTCAGGTGCAGTTTGAGCTGGTGAAGGGTTTTGACTGTCTGTCTGTCGTACCGGTATGTGATTTGTACTCGTACATGTCATACCCGCTGCCCAAGTTTTGGCACGATATGCGATAGTCAAGTTTCTGCTTGTATGCTACACTATGCAATTGCCCATGACGCCTCCTTTTTTTTTCGACCGGCGGGCTGAGAATGTGTGGTACAAGTACCGTACTAGTACAATGACGGCAGGATGTGAGACTGGTGAAATTGTGCGAAGGCTGTCTGAAGCGGGAAGTGCTCATGGTGCGGGTGCTTTTCTCCTTTCATTCATAGTATCATAGCGTGGAGAGATATTTACTACGGGCTGGGATTTACAGTAAATGTCCTGCGAAAGTGAGTACAGTACTGTCTTGATGTTGTCTTGGTATTGTCTTGGAAGTAGCTCATAGAGGTATAGGGGGGTAACAATTTTCATTTTCGCCAATGTTTTTCTGTCATTTTATGAACGAACTCTCCGAGGAAACTTCTGGGGCCAGTTTTGACATTACCATGTCGCGGTTTGGTCACTCCTTTACTTGCTGCTCTCGGGTCTGGAGGAGGCTAATTGGGCTTGGTCACGTGCTCTGATAAGTGGGGATTTTTATCTATGGAATATCTATCTATCATAATAATTATTATTATCTAAAAGAAATCATCAAAGCCCTTATCAGCGTCCTTCTTGATAAGCTCTAGCATGCCCTGGATCATAAATTAGCACTCAATATCCTAATTGGTATCTCGGACTTCAGCTAGAATGGTAGAGATACCTCAGGCATATAGGGTTCTCCGTCTTCGCCCTTCACATATCTAAAGGGCATCTGGGTGGACTCGTGCTTGTTGAGTTTCAATTCTGGATAGTCCATATACGGGATACTAACCAGGGGCCCTGTAGTTTTTTGTTAGCCTCTGGTAGTCTCCTGGATGAAGCCTTATGAAGGTAATCACGTTGTTCCTCAATGACCATTCTTGTAACTCTGACTGCGGTGTCGGTAGTCATTTGAAGCTTTCCTAGTTGGCGACCTTGGTATCCATATTTCCTTAACTCTGCCGTGCGGTCTAAGCCCATATCGTGTTAGTAATTGAACCAAATGGGAAGTCGTGATAATATCTCTTGATCAAGGAGGATACCTCTTGGTGGATCATCACCTGTCCCAGTAAGATACTATCAGCACATCATACTCAAACCCATGCCATCTCCGCGCAGCATCATGGCGTAATCCCAACAGGGGATACAAAAAACAGTAGCAGGAACGGTAACACAATAGGCTCGGCAAAAAATCACCCAAAGCAAGGCTTCCAAAGGGAGCAATACTAAGAAGAATAGAATTCAGGGAGAAAGAACAGGCAACACACCCAAAATCCCCCCAAAAATGAAAGCATCAAAGACCTCCGCATCAGCAGGACTTAGCTCCTTTTCCGCCCGGGGATCAAGCAGGCAGACCCTATCCGCACGAACCTCTGACAGTTGCGTAACCTCACGAGAAGTCACCTTTAACGGAGCACCGATATACTGGCTTAACGATTCTGGGAGGTCTTCCACAAGCGAAGGTGGCACAGATGTTAGGTAGAAATCGCTCCCGGAGGCTGCGGATTCGGCTGAGATTGCGATGTATTCTAGCGTAGACCAAGCGCCCATTTCGGGTTCCATATCTGATAGGATAGTGTGTTCTCTCGCATTAGTTTTGGAGGAGAAAAAAAACAAAACAGAACTACAAGATTCACATTCTCCCTCTTCCTTTTTTGGGCTATCACGAGCCCGATGGGGGCTTTGTTTTAACTCTGCTCTCCCCTTTTGGGTTCTTTTTTGTTTTGTGTGACTTGGGTATTATTCAAAGGAGTAGTAGTAGAATTGGTGTGAGAAGGAGATGGGGAGAATGGGGAGAGGGATTGGCAAAGTTAGAAACCGGGTAAGGGCATATTTACGTTCTACGACATAAATTCTCTTTTTGCCGGCAGCGGGAGCTGATGTTGTCGGGAGCATTATCAAAAGCGGATAAGCTATTCCTGGGATATACTCTGCACGGCCCTAGACCTGCAGGGTCACAGATATTAGCTACCATGATTTTCGAGTAGATGGTTTAAGGGAGAATATGGACTTTATGGTGGTGGGGTAGTGGGACACTCAACTAAAGTCGAGATGAAGGGAATAAGGGTAAATGAGGATGACGGGGAGAAAAAGCCGAGGTACCAGAAGCAATGCGCAGAGAGCGCTCAAGGTACTCTGAGTTTTTGGTGACGGCTTGAAGATGTTCGGGGTAGAAAATTAGAGAAATAAAGATAAAACTGGAGATGGTGATAGTGGCTTGGACTATACAGACACGAAATGGAAAGGAGAAAACCAACAAGCGGGAGGAGACACAAAGTTATTACCGGTATGGGATGTTATTCCAGGAGAAAGAGGAAGATGCGGTGGAAGGAGGGAAAAAAGGGGGGCGCCTTGTTTACTCGTACTCGAGTACACTGACTTACCGGTGATACTGCGGGATTTCCCGCAGACTGGAAGATCACAGCGGCTTGGAGTGAGTGGGTGGATGGTGGGGCAGATTATGAAGTGGAGGGGTATTGTTAGTCAAGTGATGGTTTGATCGAGCTTTTTCGGGGGATTTACATAATCAGCTACAAGCCTCGGGATTTAGAGCAGACTAGACTACTATACTGGTGTGCTACGCTAAATGTTTGTTTAAGTGGGCAGGGAATATTGGGTTGCCATTTGCTACCGATACCAGTAGTTAAGTTACTGTTCGCCTTAGCAACCCCGAATCTTTGGTCCATCGCAGGGCTTACGGCGAAGTACTTGCTTAAGAGCTGCTAAAGGCAGCAATCACTAAAAATCACTCGACTTTCAGTGACCTCCTTTCCATAGATAAAGGTATAATAAATAAGAGATCAAAATGTACGGGCGCGTGCGTTACAGAAGTGACTTTCTTAAATCCCAGGGGGAGATAAAGACATCCCTTGCCCCCCCCCCAAAAAAAAAAAAACATCTCTCATAGATCTCATATATCGACATCCTCTTTAGCATATCATAACTTATCGTTGGTGGGATCTCTCTATCAAACACTAATCTTGAGAAACAACCCCTCCCATCCGAAGAGAGGAACTCCCCTCTCACCACCCTACCACAACCCACCCACCATGTCATTCCAATCTACCCCCAGCCTTTTGTACCGAACAGAATCTACAAGCCCCCCCCCTCCCAGTACTCTCAAGCTCGACTTGGGTATGTTTGTGGATGATGATACAGTGGCCCAAACTGCTCGCGCGGGTATGATGCGATAGCGGTGGTTTTTCCTCGGGGGTTAGAACTCAGGCGGTGGATTAGTTGGTATCTAGCTTGACTCCTTGCTTTGGTATCTACATTAGCATATCCTTGATGGAAAAAATAGATGGTTTGGTAATTTAGAGCAAGGGTGGTTACTCTGCGACTGGAAGGAAGTACATCAAATCCGGGGCAGGAGGTACTAGGCCCTCCACTGGTCCGCTACGTATCCTGCCTAGCATGAAGCACACTGCGGAGAGGCGGCATCAAGGGAGCTAGCATCAGACTGCTATCCTGCGTTGGCGTTGTGCCTTTGCCCTCCGATGATCTCGATGCCCCCTCAAGAGATCTTGGGATATAAGTTAGAGTAAACTTTGCGTAACCAATTTTTTAACGAAATATATACTTAAACTACGCAATTCTAACACCCGAGTGACAAGCAGTGCTTAGTTCCATGCAAACGCCTGATCATTAGGTATTTAACACGGCAGCTAATGGTACAGTACCTATCATACAAAATTTGATGAACAAAGGGAAGGAGAGCGAGTCAGTGAACAACAAGAGGATATTCTATCTTTCTACCAACGTATTCTCGACTCTTTCTGATGCCTATCAAGAAAACCAAAAGATAGACATGCGGCGGTTTTTGTTTTTAACCCCCCCCCAAGATAAATAATAATTTCAGTGCATTTCCTATCGGGACAATAGCACTGAATGGTGGAAATACTTTATCTCTAGTAATTCCATCATACTTCTTGTCAATCCCCTCTACCCCTCGAGCCAACCCTAAATAAATGCAGCAGAAGACTCCAAGCTCCCCACTCTCACCGACGTTTTGGAGGCACGGCGATTGATAACGGGCCCAAACTGAGAATTAACAGCGTTTTCGATATCTCGGCTTGTTCTCTCAGCCAGGGCACTCCTATTACTCTCCAATCCGAGCCCCTGGTTTCCGGAGTAAACCCTCATCTTACTGCCACTTTCAGCACTGGTTGTGTTGAGGCAATAATCTTTCATCCTGAGCTTTCCTCTTATCTTGGGTTTCTCCCCGACAACAACACTATTATCATCTCTATCATGGGCTGACCGCTCTGATGTAGAGCTGATATTAGGTGGTGATGGGGGAGGTCGAAGAGGGGGTGGGGGCGTGGTGGGAGTACTTTCTGTCTGGAGCATACCCATACTTCTTGGGCGTCTACAGCGACTTAGCGCAGTTTCTCCAGATGGAACCTTTGTGGGAGAGGGCAGAAAGTTTATAGAATTCGTTTGGCGAAGTCTTCTCAGCGGTGTATGGGTCCCCGGAGGTGTAATGCTTGAAACCGTAGCTGAGCTCCGACCATTCTGTGTACCTTTCCCCTCGCTCTCGCGGGATATGCTGGGGACGGGAGACAACGCCCGTAGGGCTGCTATCAGTCTCATTTGCTCCTCGTCGGCACCTTCCATAGCTTCCCGCCACCCAGCAGTGATTGAATCTATATTCTGCGTCTTGTGTACTATTGGACTATACAATATGGGGATTTGTGGAACAGACGGGATGTAGAATGGATCGGGGTTCTTATCTCGACTAGTTTCTACTAGGTGACCCCATTTCTGGGCAGCCGACTTCCTGATTGTCGATGTTGCTGTCGATCTCCCTTGCCCGGATTTGCCAGGTTTTGTGAACAGGTTTTCTTCCTCTGGCTTTAAACCTAAGCCTGGAGCCATATGAAACCCAGATTCTGGAGATCCGTATCCCGGCCCGCAAGGATCCTTCTGGCAATCTTGCGGTTCATCGGCTGCACCTTCATCCAGGCGCTTCATCAGGGCCGAGTACACTCTCCTCACTTCATACCTAGGTTGGGTCGACTCCCCTACTACTGATGGCTCATACAGGTTCTCTCGGATTCTATGTGGGGCGTTTTCGTCAATGATAGAAAGCCTCTTCGATGCAGATCGCCTATCGAGGGTTGAATTCCACGTGGAACTCCCATCTGTTGGCACAGAAACGCCTCTTATGGTGGAAACAGGTGACTGGGGTGGGTTAGGAGTGACGTCTCGGATGGAACCAGCGATGGAATGGGGCATCTCAAATGAGGGCACAGTACGGAGTGTAGGAGCCCGAGAGACGGTGTTAGAGCGCATCCGAATAACCCCAGGTTCGGGAATGTCTTTGATATCGTCATGAAGCTCAGATGGTGAAACGAAATCACAGAAATGAGATCGAGAGGCAGGAACATGCTGCTCAGGAAATGTATTCTCAAGCTTCTCACGAACTCCAAAAACGCGCTTCATGGACCCAAACACTTTCTTCGCCGTTTCACCCATAGCCTTTCTAACAGAGAGTGATTCTGTTGGTTGCTCTTTGGACACCTTCTTAGCACGCACTGTTTCAGGAAACGCAATCGGTTTTTGGCTCCTCCTACAGGATGCCGATAGGTAGAATGGCTTCTGCTCCTTGACGTACGGCTGCTGCTGCTGCCGTTGAGACGGCTCATCCCCCCCCGCTTCCTCCAATTGACGACGCATAGAGTCAGGCATGAATTCTGTACCCCCACGAAGAAAAGATGTGGATTTTCTCTGATTCCTCATCATTGCTTCCTTTGACGAGAGTTCGGGGGGGAATACAGCGGGTGACTGATCTGGTGTCGGCCGAGGATACACCTGGCTAACACTGAAAACAGATTTTGTCTTTCGGAGACGACGGTAAGAAGATGGCGTAGATGGTACAGGGGATCCCGGAGAAGAGTGGTAGTCCGCTCCTAAGTCAGATAGATTCAAAGCACGGCAAGCGTCAGGGCTAGAGAATGTAAGTTGTTGGAATACTTCATTTCCGTCACCTAATTGTCTCAAGGTCCCCAGTCTCATACTGGCAGTGTTCTCTCGGCTGGCGTAGGTTGGGTGGGGAGCACCAGCAGCTGTGTCATATGAAGCATACGAAGCATTTTTCGTCATGGTCGAGTGGGATTTTTCCGCTTCATGCCTGTTAACAGAGTAGAATCCAGCTGCGTTACTGGTTCTGTTCCGGTTATCGATAGGAGACAAGAACCTAATACCAGAGCTGCGAAAAACGGTGTGTTCACGTTTGGAATTGCGGCGTTGGATATCATCGCCATAAGCTCTTTGGGCTGCAGCCACCGCCTGCTGACTCCTTTCTTGGGGAGCAAGCAGCTCGGACCTAGTAGCTGTGGGATAAGATGTGCTTTTTGCTCGTCGAACCCGACTTTTGGTTTTGCTGGGCGGGCTCGGGGAGGATGAAGAAACCGTGTAACGGCGGGAGAGCATCGTGACGTTGTTTGCGGGGCGGAATGTATACAAAAGGGTTAAAGGTTCATTGATGATAACAAGCTGTGGTTTTTTTTTTTCGATATCCAGGACCGACAAATAAGATGTAAGGTTCCCTTGCATCGCAAGCAACTGGGACGTCACGTAGTATGGGATGAATGAACCACGTGTTTAACAAGGAGGTGTGCGTCACTAGATATCGTTCGATCGGCCTTCTGCAGAAGGAGCAAAAATAAAACACTGAAGGGGGAAAAAATAGTTGGTGTTGGTTTTAGATGCAATATCGTCTATTCTTTAATACCATGCATGTATCATTCAACATCGGAATGCAGCTGGAAATGCGAGGAGGAATCGAGAAGAACACGGTTTACCCAATGTATATAAGAAACTCCCTGCCATAAGAAAACGACCACTCTGCGAATAACCTTGAAATACATCTGAAACTCCCGAAGTCAAGCTAGTACACAATGCCGCTAAGCAAGGCTTCCCATTGGATCCCAAATAGGGAGTGATATGGGATCCTGCTTGAGGACATTGAGAACCTCATTGCTTACGAAAGCGGGGTCGGTAACAACTTGGTAGCAGTACTCATCAAACCAAGCATCACTCATGAGCCAGTAACCCTTTTCTCCGGACTCAGCCCCCCACGAGTTCTCCACTATTGAGATTTAGAAAATTAGTTTCCGTCGGATTGTTCCCCAAAGAGTTCTAGGGGATGCAGTTATACCTCTCCACTTTGTTGGCTTGCCATCGACAATGTTGACTCCACTGAGAACCATAGCGTGGGTCATGGAACTCTCTCCAGTGCGAAGTCGCTCAGCCTTGTTCATATACAAAGTAATATTATACCCTAGTTCGTAATCAAACAAGCCGGTATCCATAATTCCTCTGCCGCCCTCCGCGAACTTTCCAACGTCACATCCGAAAAATACAGGACGCTGTGCTTTAATCATGGCGATAGCTGCAGATTTCATAACCTAGTGTTCTTCGTCAGTCTCAATTTTTGTGTGGGAACAGCTTCCTGTGGTGGAATAGGCACTGCTCCATAGCAAGGCATCCCAAGGGGTTTCACATCTGTAGACACATTAACATATTTAACCCCTCTCCCGCCAACAACATTACCGAGTCTCTCGACTGTCAAGAGTCTGTTGTATTCGTTCCTAGGATCATTGACTAAGGAGAATCTCTCGGCAACGCCACCCCTATCTCCACCGCCCAAAACCCCATCAATTACACCGGCACCGTAGCTTATGGTGCCTGTGTTCTCTTTGTAAAATTCAAGGGGAGTAGTGGTGATGGAACGGAATTTGCCGTCCTTATCATGAAAATTCCAGGTGAAGGTATCATCGGGTTTGGGGGGAACACCTAAGGACAGGACGAGGACGCCGTATATCTCTTGGAGAACCTTAGCCTTGTATATTTCAAGCTCCCCACTCTTACATGAGGCGCCGAGGGACCGGCTAAACGAAGTAGATATTAGCTTTATCACAAGAGATTATCAGGGAATAGCAAGGTCTCTAGCTTACAGGGTGAGAGCCGCCTCGCGAAGTTTGGCTGTAATGAGCCAGTTGATGCGGCCGGACGACTTGGAATTGAACGAATCGGGATAGAAAGCTTGCGGAATCTGTAAATAAGTTGGTAGGTTGTCACAAAATACATCAACCGGGATTGGGCAGCGGCAATACCAATCCATATTTTTCAACTAAATTTACAGCCATATCCCATTGGCCGCCATCACCAACAGGAGATTGCAGTAGGTACTGAATCAGCCTTCCATCGAGATCTGCTTCTTGGGTATTAATAATTTCTGTTGTAACTCCAAGTCAGTCACGTGCGTCACCGCGAAGCCCTGAGGCCAGGGCCTCTGCCAGATGGGAACCGGTACATACGCTCCAAGAAAAAGTTGGCTTTCTCAAGTTTATCCCAGAAAAAGAGGTAATTTTGGGACAGCTCAAATCCAGTCAGTTTGTATTTCTTAATTATCGGAACTCGAAAGACGTTGGTGCTGGCAAACAGCCAGCATCTCCCTGAGGAGCGCTGGTTGGTAACGGGGGTTCCTTCGAGTTCAATCTGGTCACTGAACACATGGGTATCGTGGAGGAGCGCCGACGGCTTTTGAAGGATGGCTGTAGAAGCGTGTGTGCTAAGAGCAGCAAGAGCAAGACGATTCTTCCACCAAAAATTAGCTAAGCTTCCATAATTAAAACATATGGTTCACACCTTTGGTTCGGACAAGAGTTTGGCTTCCCACTTGATAGCGGCTTCGAGCCTCAAGGAAAGAGAAGGCTCCGGTTCCTCGCTAGAGTCTGTATCGCACAAAGTGAGGTCGCTCATCTTTGATTCGAGAGCCGGTCTCCGAGGCTTCTCCACAGCAGGCCATGTGGGACGGGCAGGCTTAGATGACGACGACCCCATTCTATTCTATGATGTAGATAAAATCAGAAAGGAGAGGACGGCAGATTATGGTGGGAGTGAGGAATAGAAAAGTAGAGAAGGAGCGGACAGAAAGCAGGAGGCAGGGGAAGGAGACTCTTATCTATGTGAGCGGGTGGAGTCCTTTAGCATGTATGTACCAAGGTAGCGGCGAGGTACGGTGCAAGGTGTGTTCACCTCGGGGTTATGTTCACTTTGGAAATGCAGTACCGGTATCGAGATAGGACTGGAGGCCGACTCAAGGTACTGGGGCGCACCCGCACACACCTTCGACTACCGGTAATAACCTGGCCTACCGTACCTGTACAACAATCAGCCCTTGTGCGCTGCAGTCCTCAAGCTTGAGTGCACACAGTTTTCGGTTTCCATGGCAGGCTTCAACCTCTCTTCCCCTCCCCCAACTGCACGCACGCTCGATGGGTACAGCTTTTTTCCTGACTATAATGAAACTTGGAGACTGGAGAGGATTGTAGACATAATTGCCTGGGCGGCATGCCAACTCCCCTCGGGATCTTTCCATGCGGGGAAATTCTCTTTGGGTTTCTCCCTCTCCCCCACAGTGGTCACTGCTCACTATCGCCCTGGAGACTCGCGTACCATGAGTATCACCACGCGTATCTGATATTAAGCCACCAAGGTGCGATCATTCGCCAAGCAAGATGGCCGGCGGGATCATCCGACAACATACCCGCGACCACCATGTGTATCATCGTGCACCATATATTATATGTACAAGTATTATAGTACTCGTGCAGTGGCTTTTTCCAGCCTGTCACGGGTTCCCCTCCTCCATCCTTGACCCTCCTCACAGCTCATAGGGCAGCTGCTATAAGCCGAATACCTTCAATCCATTCACTTGAGTTCCGGGACAGGAGATTCCCTTGGCTATTAAAGTGAGTTCGGCTACTGCGTTCGAGTGCTCGAGTACAGTACAGGCATGATACTTGCACTGCAACCGTCTTTTCCGGGGGTAGGTTAATAGGGCTCCAGATTTCACGGATGCATCCGCTCAAGCTCCACTGCCACCACCAGTGTCTTTATTTTCATCATCGTGCTTTCCTCTGCAGCCACCAAATGGATCACTTGTATTTCCTATCCTTTCCGATCTGACTACAACTGCGGGCTGTCTAATATAATACGTCGCGTTGCTACGCCTCTGAGGATATAGGGAGAGTCGGGGAATAAAGAGAAAAATGTGTTGATTTTCACTGCTACGTGGCTGTGTTGTCGTGATAGCAGCCGGATGTTGCGTCAAAGGAATTCCGACAGTAGACGGCCATGTGACCGAATTCTCTTTCCTTTGCTTTCCTATGGTTCTCTGTTCCCTGCAAATCGCGCAGCTCTTCTATTGATATACCTTATACACGCGAGAACTCCACATTGAATCTTGATCACGCAAGTTCTGTGGACAGGTTTTCATCCATTCTGCCGACATAGACTGTCTCATAACCTGAGGACGAGATTCAACGGACTGTGTACCGCGCAGCACTCATGCGGGCTTGCTGCCGGGGTGAATACTGCTATATCAAATGCTCGCCCAGGCTAAAGTTGATTATTGTTACACTTTGGCCTGAATTTCGCAACAGTCACGGTTTCCTATGGAAAAATACCGGTAGCGGTGGGGGAAGGGAGCGAGGAAGACAAATTGTGCGTGTCCCTTCCCTCGTAGAGCGGGACCGATCGGCTGGCTTGAAACAGTCTTGGGTCAGGTGGATCGGGATAAGGATATTGTGGTCTGCGGCTCGGAACGATGGCGGCGCCTGGCCCAGCTTGCTCGAGCACAGTGCCGTACCGGTGGGTTTGCAAATTTGCGGGCGGAAGCCCAACTCGCACAACGTATCCGCACCGGTATCATATCGTATCGTACTCGTGATGCAAGCTGCCGGGCTGAATACAGAACTCTATGCTGGTGGGTGGCCGTGATCGCTTAAGGCCCGTCGCCGTCGGTTTGGTGGGTTTGGGAAGCTCGGGTCCCCCACCTCCTTTTGACTTCGGGCAATCATGATACCATCATACCAAAATCGGCACCCGCTCGGTTTCTCCTTCGAGAACGTCGTATGCCGGTAGAGGCGTAGGTACTCGAGTAGACTATCCATTGTGCCATTTCACTCGTGATAAAGCCAGTTGCAGACATAATAGGGTCATATCCTATGTTTCTACATAAGTTTGCTGAAACTGGGTTGTGACACTGGGCTGAAACGTGGATAGCCTCAAGTCGTCACATGCTCCATGCATGATAGGAAGGAAGGGAAAGGTCGAAACAATTGTTGAAATCTTAACGGCGCCTGCACTACCGAGGCGCTGTGCGAGAGCAGAACAGCATCATGATCTCTGGATTGAGTCTGTGATTCTGTACTAGTATATAGAACCTGTAGATGAGTACGGTACAGTACCGTGGAACTATGAAGAGGTCAACTCTACTCAAGTACTTTCTCGGATGTCGGTAGCGGTGTTGGTACTACGATACTCCTAAACATACGCTTGAGGACATGCTTGTACTCGTACGGGTACGGTAGGAAGTGCCCAAGTAGGGTGCAAGCAGAGCTTGCTTTTGGCACGACAAGGTGTTATTTGGTCCGTTCTGCTCGTTTCGTGCGCTGAGTGGAGCCCTGTTCCTATTGTCTTACACCGCGACTCTGGCAAAAAGGTGACAGGTGACAAGAGAGCCCGTGTAATATAGACTACCCCACTATAATAAACTTTGTGGTGTAAATAAGGCACTGCACTTGTATGTGCCCAGCAAACTCTACTCGTGTACCAATATAGGCTCCCATTGTAGGCGACGGCGACCCCCTTCATCCCACACTCTCCTGCCTTTCTTGGGCTTTCATTGGTTTTTCCTCCAAACCGCCCTGTTCCTGCGTCGAGCTTTCGGTCTCGGGTCCTTTCTACTGGTCAAAGCCTACCGTATAGTGTTTGTACAGTGCTTGAGTATCATACCGTACCTACTGTAGATAAATTACCGGTACGAATACACGGTATCCCCCCTTTCCATGATAGGTTGAAGATACCACCACTCGGGTTCCACACTTGGATGACCCTTCCGCTCTCCAGCCTTCTCTACCCCTCTGTTGCAAGTCCTGGCACCCGTGTTCCTGACCAACAGCCCCGTTTCTGGACCCCAAGCGAGTTATCGGTGCTCGAGTACGGTATCAGATGGAGAGGGAGCACCCACCCATATGTTTCTTTGGATCCTCCTCTCACATCTCTTCTCTTTTCCCTTTCCTCTCCTTTTGCTACTTTTCGCCATTCGATAGTGACTTAGCCTCACCCCACTCCCGGCCGAGTCTATCGCGACCTTTCTCTTCGAACCATTTGCGCGGCCGAGATCTCCGCTGCATTCACGCCCCTCTTTCCACTCTTCTTTGTAGCATACCGTTCATTATTATTCTTTCCTGTCCTTTGTTTTATTTTCGGTGTTCATTTTATTTTCTTGCCTTCCGACATCTTTTAGAGGCGGGGCCTCGTAACATACTTACGACTCACGCCACGCATCATCGAAATATCACTCGATATATCTGTCGGCTAATTTCAGGGGATCGAACCCACAAATCCGCAAACAAGCATTTGTAATTATCCTGATATCATACCTTCACTGAACATTTACTTACTTTCTTGATGCTTTTGAAGATATGAGTCTTGCATTTAAGCGCTCAATGCTTTTGAAGTAGTGGGACCTTGGACTACCGGTACTTGAAATAGTAAGATTTTTTTTTCACTTTTTCCTTTGCGTGCGCCTTGTTTAATACCTTCATCTGAGCTTCTTGGGTGGTCGAAGGTACCGATTTGGAGCGGTGTTTGCTTTGGCCGCCTTTTTTTTTTTTATTCATTCACCCGACGCTTGTTCCTTTTCTTAGTTTTATAGGACCTCGTCGACGTTGCCCTCTTTTCTCGAGCATTGGTTTGAATATATCCAATATCCGTTCGGTGGACTCGGCTAGAACGAAGTTCTAATTTTCTGGGGGGGCTATCCAAATTTTTTGGGCATAGTAATTTATCAACCTTTCGAACTGGCGAATTCGAGGGAAGAAGGGTACTTCTTAGAGAGAAGTGACTTTAGAGTCAGGGGATGAGCAGAAAGATACAAGAGTTCAACAGTGATCATAATACGCAATCATGGAGGCCGCCGGGGTACTCTCATCAGCGTTCGGACTGTAAAGCACCTCTATCTATCTGATCGAAATTGATACTGACCACGAGCGATTTTTTTCCGGTAGTGGAATGCTGCTTCACGCCTCGCAAGCAGCATTTTTCTCAGTAATCAACGGTCATGTAAAGACATTATTTCTCCACCGTCGAAGGCTGGCCCTTCTAGCCTTCCAGCTCTGCGTTTCACTGTTCTCAATATTTCAGTTCGCCTCGTTGTTGCTTATCACAGACTTACCCTGCATGGTAACGATACGATTTACGCTGTTTTTTGACCAGTGCGCCCGGGTTGCAATATTAGGCTTGGGTATTTGGAAGGTGATTGATGAGTCGGCATTCAAGACGGAGAAGTTTGTCTGGACAGTGGTGCTGGTTTTGAGGGTTTTTCTTGGTGGTGTGGTTGTTGCTTTTACGCAGGACAGTTATATCCCGGTGTGTTTCCCAGAGCCTACCCAATTGTTTGTGGGTTATATCGCTGTTGGTTCCGACATAGTCCTGTGGATACTGCTACTATTGAGGATCGTGCGGCTTTGGAGGCTGTTTGCAGATCAGGGGAGGGGCGGGAGGAGCGAGGGGAAGAGCCAGGGCTACGGAATGTTTTTGATTGCACTAACTGCATTGGGATGGTCGGTGGTAAGTGATTGTATTATTTTGGGCTCTCGTGCCCCGAGAGAGGCTAACGATAGGATTAGGGAAGCTTTCCGTACCTATTAAAGGTAGGAGAGAGTATCTTTGTGAGAATGATCCCATATATCCTAACTTTAGGACTTACTCTTGGTAAGGACCCTTCTCCCTAACAAAAATACTGTGCGCTGTAAGAAGGTCGGCTAACGTAGTTGAATCTCTTCAGGTGTCCTTGCTCTTTTCCCTTCCATAGTGTTTTCTGTCCCTCTAAAGAGTTCAGACGGCTCCTACAGCTCTCGTATGCAGCGTTTGGGACCGGGGGAAGGGAGCCCTCAACGAGCAAGGTCTTCGTCATCACCAGCATTCAAGCAGAGTCCTCCTCGAGCCGGAGATATCGAGTCGAATAAGTATACGGCAGGCTTCTACGCTCGAGATAATGGACATGCGGCTCGGGATAGCAATGTGTTTGGAGGTATCATTGGTGCCCCTATTGTCCACCCCGGTACTACTTTGCAGTGGTCTTTGGATAATACAGCAGACCCGGGAAACAGACAGAGCACCTTAAAGGCATATTCGGGAGGGCTGACTGGTGCAACATCTGTTGCCCTCCAGGAAAATTCGAAGAGAAAGAGTCTGGTAGAAACACTCTTTCCAACTCATGCGGGCGGAAGAACCGGTATATCAGGGCCAATACTCAGGGATGGGGGGTTTGCAGAGCCAAGCGGCGGGATTTCAAGCCCAAGGGCGATGCCTTCCACAACCAACCCCTTTCCAAAAGTAAAGACGGTATCATTACGTGCGGCAAAGGAAGCAGAAAGACATAGGATCGATGCTCAGTTCGAAAGGGATCAAAAGAAGCTACAGGAGGCGGTGGCTACGGCTGGGAATAGTGCAACAACACCCACAATATCGAAGAGTATTCCGGTCACACCGAAATCAGGCAAGAGTGTTGAAAGGACTACAAGTATTAAGAGAAAGCCGGTGTTCCCGGGCGACACCCCTGGACTTCCATCAGGGCCTGCCCCTAGGGTGAGTGCTGTAGTTGGGAAACGGGGGCCCCGACGAAATAAGGAAACCGAGACCGAGCCTGAAGCCCAAGCGGAGACTCCTTCTAGCCTAAGGGAATCAGTCTTAGCGGCAGCAGTGGATGCCAATTGGGGAGCAATGAGATACAGTACGAATACGTTTGCTACAGATGATGACGACACAACTCGTTATACCGCATTTTCAAATTCGCCTTATCCTCTTCGAGCGCCACCAAGAGAAGTAGGATCAAAGGAGGCGGGCGAAAGTACAGACGGCGACGCAAAGGTTCTGTTTATAAACGAAATTGTTTATGATCACCCGGCTCTAGTTAATTCACTTGTTGGAGGACCGGATACCCGGGGGGACAAGAGGGACATTGGCCTGACCACCTCCAGATACTCAGGCGCTTCGAATGGGACCACCATTCGAAGAAGCCCATCGTCTACTAAGCGACCACAGCTCCCCACGACTCAAGAAGTAGATGAAATACCCCCGGTCCCAAATGTTTCTGCCTCAGTTATGGATAGACCAAGACATATTAGGAAGGACTCTGGGAGGGGGATCTTTCCTCCGGCAAGAGACTCCGAAATTGCCTTAGAGATGAAACTCAAGAAGTCGGTTAATACAAGCAAGTCTTTACCGCCCCGACCACCGCCTACCGAACCTTTACCTCCACTGCCGGTTCAGAGCGAAGAAATACCAATACCGGCCACAGCCCCCGCCGAGGTACCTACAGGGAAAAAGGTGGAGAAGAAGCCCACAGAGTTGATTTTCCCTATCCCTCCTTCAAGAGCCCCATCAGGAAGGAAACCTGCGCCCCCCCCAATTACCATCGAGCCCTTCGGACTAGTATCGCTAGAAGTGGTGCGCAGGGTAACGTCTCCGCTGCTCACAGAACCAAAACCACGGTCACAAGAGGAGAGAATATCGGTTGCACCCAATGTTCCCGAAAGATCCGAAAGCCGCACAAGTATCATTTCCCCCTTTCCCAAGGACGGAATTGACTCCGCTACAGTCTCAGATGCAGCCTACGAGACTGCCAAAGCATGGATAGCAAGCGTGGCGACTGTTCGCATGTCAACAGATGTCCCTGTTTTGGTTAATGTCGAGGGAGGCCATCGAGTTTCTTACCCCAAAAATTCCGATAAAGATTCTTTACCTGCATTTACACGCAATGAGGACAGTTCAAGTCTCGGAAGAAGTGGCGTTTTGAGTTTCGCTTCTAGTACGGTGTTGCGCAAGAGTGTGCTTTCTTTCACCGTTTCACCAAAGATCACTCGCGGCGATGGGGATTTTACGGATGTGGAAATCGATTCGGATTCTGAAGTTGGAGATGAGGAGGATGATTATGAGGGAGGCGGGGGCAGCGATACTGAGACGACACAAAGTGAGGCTGGTGAAATGATCGGCGCTGGAGGCGAGGGATACTCGACTGAAGACGGTGAAGAGGACGACGAGTACCTGACCGAAAGCGACTCGCAAGAAGATAGAGACGAAGTCGTTATCTCGGGTATGGACGATGGGGCCGAGTTTGGTAAGATCGAAATGACCGAACGTAAACTTAATGCTAAGATGGATGCTATTGCGGATGCCATCCCCAATATGTCGGCATTTCCCCGTCATTTCAACATAGGTGATCACATTCCTACATTTTCAGAGAGCAGAAGGAAGTATGGCAGCAAGAGGAAGCCACCCCCATCCCCTCTAGGGTTCCTGATGCGCCAGCGGCGTATGTCCCGACAGCTGCCTAATTTACAGCAGGATAGGATCCAAGCTCGACTCACTATGCTCGCAGAGAACGTCAGCCGAAACGTGGCCGTTCTGGATGATCTCCTTGCGAAAATACCAGCGGAAGCAAAAAGCAATAGAAATACTCAGGCCAGCCTTGTTTCTGACGGTCATAATTCACTTATTGCGAAGCTTGAGCAGGAAATGGGACAGCAGGAAAACCAGTGGCACGGGATGCAGGAGGTTCTTCTGCAGAGGAACTCATCCGCATCCGTCCAAGACTCCCGGCCATCCTCGAGATTTTCCACAAATCTAGCTCAACGTCGCTCTTTGTTTGAGAAACTGAGTAGCGGCATAGATAGACGCCTAAGCACTGCGCAGGGTTCCAATGCTACTATCTCGCGGAATGCCTCCAGGGCTACATCTCGTACAACATCAACCCTATCCTCCAGTATGACGGCCGGGGCATGGCAGAGGCAATTGGCAGAGGCTCAGATTGAGTATCTACAGCATGCGCCGTGGGAAAGTAACGACGTAACCACAACAAATGCTCCCGTCAAGCCTTCCGCCATCCTGAAAAGTCAGGACACACCCGTTTCGGTGGTTTCCGAATCCGAAGAGTACGGGTATGACTCTGTAAGTAACTCCGAGGATGGTAGTTATGAGGGCGGGGGAGATGAAGAAGGAGATATAATCGTGTATGATGGTTTGGGGATTAAGTCACCCATCTTGACTAATGATGAATCACGCCGAAAATCCTTTTATAATAACGATGACGTCAACTTCCTTACGCAGCATGAAGGGGAAGAAACGGTTACCATTTCGATCGAGACGGTCTCGGAGCCACGGGCGTATGGAAATGAGGAGCCCGAGGAATACGAAGTGGAGGATTATCTTGAGACACTACCGGCTACTGTGTACTCCCCTAGCATGCAGTCCGAGATATCGGTTACCTATTTCTCACCTTTTATGAAGGTAACGTCGCCGGTCGAGGGGCCTGCGGTGTCCTTGCTGTGGGACCCCCGATCTACATCCCGAGAGAAAGCGCAGGAAGCTGAGGAGATTTCGCTTTGGACCAAAAATCATCGATCCACCTCCACAGAACCGCTAACTGGCCCGGCCGCTATAAATGTCAGGCCTTGGCAACGAGCACCCTTGGAACCTCTAACCATTAGTAGCACTGGGCTTTGGAAAATGCGGAGTTCTGAGCCGTTGTCTCCGCGATCAGAGGTCTCAATTGAGATCTGCCTATCCCCATCTATTAAGGAATTCTCGCCAAATCCCGGCCAAACTGTACCGTTCCTGTGGAGCCCGCAGCCGGTTCCCCCACAAATCCTACAGGCCGGCAAACTCTGGAGCTACCATCCATTGGCATCGAAACCACCAATCGGCTCCCCTGCCGCCATCGCCACGAGACCGCGTCAAAGTATATCCCTTGCCCCTCTGAGGATTTACACCACCAGGCTCTGGTGCAAACCATGCTCACACCCGACATATAATGAAGGCGGATTGTGGACCAATCGCAAAGGATTCAGGCCGAAGAGCATAATCGCACCAAGACTCTCAATTGTAGCCCCAAAGTCAAATAGAAAGTCAAAAAGGGTAACATTTGTCGAGGAGGTAGTTACAGGTCAGTTCTTATTTATCGGTGGGAACTCTCAGTCGCTGATGTCACAATAGTCGAGCCTACCGGTTTCTTCGGAAAACTTAAAAAGCTGTGGGGAATGCAAGAGACGGTTTCGGTCAAGGAAATTGTCGAAGTTCCAATCGCAAAACCCGCAGAACAAATAAAGATCCAGGCTCAAAGCACTCCAAAAGAGCAAGGGAAACCGATTGCAGATATCCTTCAAGAGATCACCTTAAAATATCAGAATAGAGCGCTTCCAGAGCTCCCAACTAGGGTGGATCAGCCATCGCAGGGGATCAAGACACTCTGGTCGAAGAATGACATTGAGGCGCGGAGAGAATCAGCTGTCCCAACTTCTAAAACCAATGGGATGTGGACTATCCCATCACCAAAAGTTGCCCTACGGGAAAACGAATTCAAAGATAACATTTCGGCGGTTCACATTCAGCGGAGGGCCCCGATCTTCTCGGACCTCACTTCCACGCAGCTCTGGGAAAGCCCGAATCTGGAAGTTCACGTTGAACCCGATAAGACCGCCAATGTGTCGGTAAACCTCTGGTCCCCCGCTCACAAAGTTCACCCCCCTCCAAAAGCTGTGATTCCTGATGAGTTTGGTGTTCTCGATACTGAGGCCGCGAATACTTCTCCTTCTCCTGAGTCCACTGCTGGACTCTGGAAGCCGTCCTTGGGTTTGCTATCAGGTGAGAATTCAGGCACTGAGGAATTCACCCGTCTTTGGCCTTCTTCAAACACACTAGTCTCTAAAGATCAAACCAAGCTCTCCCGCCCAACGAGATCCTTGCCATTAGCCCTATCAGCCATAAGCTCAGCCGGCCTTTGGGCCCCGCCCACCAAAGCCTCCCACGGACGAGGACTTTGGACCGCGCCCGAGAAAATTAGCGGCCTCTGGCCTCAAGGAGAGCGGGTTCAGAAGTCGTCTCTAGGTAATCTTTGGCCATCTGCATCCCCACTACCTGCCATCGGAAACTCAGTAATTCTGCCCCACCCCTCACCTCGCCCATTAGGATCTGCTTTCCTATCTTTTGAATCCACCGGGCTTTGGAAAATGACTGCTGAGGGGTCAACAGTATCTGGCTTGTGGTCCATGCCAATTGGGCGGAAGGGGCTGTGGCCTGAGGGCGAGACCGAGAGGCCCGCACGCATCGGAAATCTCTGGACTTCTCCCTCTGCTCAATTCGAGATTGTCCGAAGGACCAATATCAAGTTGGTCACGACAAATGATAACAATGATAGCGAGAGGGTTGTGCATAAGAGGACCGTAGTTGACACTATCGCCGATGTTACAGGTAGTATGTGGACTCCACAGGAGGGAAAGCCTGCGCAATCATCTGGATGGCTTTTGAGACAACAAGAAATCGTGGCCCCCCCTGCCGAATGTGCCGAATATATACCGGTAATAGGTTCGCCTGCTTCGAGTACACGTAGACTACCGGAGTTTGTTCAAGGAGAGCCGGTTGATTTTGCATCTGCAGAACGCGCTTTGTGGACCCAGGTCCCGACTATTGTAACTTCACAAACCTCTAGCGGTCTTTGGAGATATCAACCCAAGACCTTGCAGTCTGCAAACCGAATTCCTAGGACTAACATGAACAATTCTAACAGCATGCGAAAACCCCACCGATCAAGATACCACATCCTTGCACCAGCCAGAGGTTTTCTATGGAAAAAGGAATTAGCCGACAAGTCACACCCACTACTTTGGGCGCCATTTTCAAGAGAGAATGGCTTATGGAACGGCAAAGGGAGCACAGCAACCCTCACCGAGATCGCGCTCTTGCGGGATGCTGGCTCCTTATGGACTCAGCACGGTAATTATGTGAAACCAATCTTCGATAACCATCCGCTGGTTTCCTTTCGCTCAAAAAGACAACCATCAACATGCCCGTTGGAGTCAGTCCACGGCACTCTCTGGATATCGCCTATTTCGAGCGTTGCAAACCACGAAAAAAGTGATTCTATCCGGGGATTATGGGGTTTTAAGTGGGGTGTCGATCAGGAAATATCGGGGGTCCCATCTCCTGCCACATTGGCCCAAGAGGAAGAATCACCTGTAAGTCCGATCCAAGAACATAAGCATAACTTTCTCTGGCAACCGCGCGACGGGCCAACTCAGCCGGCACATTCGCCAATGCCCCCTGTCACACTATCGAAAAGCAATAAGCGACATGATTCCCCGCTTTTCTTGGCCCTGCCACCAGTAACAGGCTCTTTGTGGACTCCCCCTTCAAAATCAAACCCATGTCCGCCTAGATTATGGACACCGTCATCCGTGACCTTAAAGGGACTTTGGTCTTTCAATAACAAAACTCCCTCTCTCGCTATCCTCACCCGAAAAAACGATCCCCTTTGGTCTAAACATAACGCTCCAGAGTCAATCTTCTCCACTTTAGCCACCGAATCTCGACGCGCACCCCCAACAAGGCCTGACGTTACAGTTTCCATGGCAGGACCACTCTGGACATCTTCTCCCGTTGAAATTCAACCGCAATTATGGAGGCCATTGAAGAAAACAGACGAGAGGCTTTGGACCGCTGAAGGAACTACTTCCCCCCTTTCCCAGATCGCTAATCCAAAGGTTGAGAGAACACCATTGTGGAGCAAGGAAAATAGTATTGTTGCACCCATCTTTTCTGATCTATCCCTCGTCTCGCTTCGAAGCAAGAGAGATATCTTCACCAAAACTTTGCCCGCTGTTAAAGAGGGCCTTTGGACGAAGCGAATCGATCTCCCTGAGGTTTCGCGAGATACTACGGGATTATGGGGAACAACCGAGGAACTGCCAAAAATGGAGGCTGCCTCTAGACGTGCCCCCATGCTCTGGAATAAAGAGGGTATCACGGCCCCCATCTTCGCTCATTTACCTGCCGATTCAGCACGATCAAAGAAGGATACTTCTTCAATCGTTCTCCCAGTATTCACCGAGCCTATGTGGAAAAAGGAAGCTGTACTTAGAGCAAAGCCAGAGCTGTGGAAGCCCGCACCGAAACCTACCGGGCTATGGGATGCGAATGCGAAGACTAAAACTTTGGCACAAATGTCATTTGAGAAGAAGGCGAAGGGTTCGCCTCTATGGAAGAAGGAAGGGGCCCGTAGGACAACTAACGCTGTGCCGATAAGAACAAATACTGCGGTACGATTACCGGATAAAGCTGCTCTTCCTAAGATGGTTGGAGGCCTATGGAAACCGAAGATTGCAGTCAAACCGTTTCCACAACTTTGGACACGCAGGAGGTCAATGAGGGTGGAGAAGCAGCCTGTGGGCGTTCTCTTGTGGACGCGAGAGACGGCATTAAGAACCACAGAAGCTACCCCTGAGCGAACGAAGGTCTCCTTTATCCCTTCGGATAGCCCTCTATCTAAGGTATCCGGAAATCTCTGGCAAAAGAAGACGCCTGAAGGGCCGAGAGGGTTGTGGAAAAAACCTATCAAAACTATACCATCCGCTATCCGACCCTCGGTTCCCCTATGGTCTCGAGAAAAGGCTTCAAGACGAACAGCTGCTGTTCCTGAACGCCTTGCCCTTGTTCCGAAAAAGTCTCTCCTTGTTCAAGCTGACCCCCCGAAGGCCTCGGGTACTTTATGGGAGCCGAAGGCCAAGGCCGCTCCTAAGGGCCTTTGGGTTAAGCCTGCAGTTATCGCGACCAAGCCTACCGCCATTCGTACCGTCCTATGGACTGCAGCTTCAGCTTCCCGCACAACCTCTGCCGCGCCTGTACGAAGTGCTGTTCCAAAGAGAGTCATCGAAGAGCCCCTACCTATGGTCTCTGGTAACATGTGGCAGAAGAAGTCTCCCAAGAAATCAAAGGGACTTTGGAAGCGTGAGATCAAGACAGTTGGGACCTTCCGGAAGACTGTAAACACTCCGCTTTGGTCGAGGGAAGGTGCAGCACGCACTACAACCGCTGTTCCTGAGCGCGCTCCATTTGTGCCAAAACCTACCTCTACAAAACCGTTGGAGCCCGCAATTGGAGATTTGTGGCAGCCTTCACTCACTGAAAAAGAAGTTATCACGCTCTGGAAACAGAAGCCCGTAGTCTGTAGGGTGGGTGTTTGGAACGCAGAAGGAACAACCCCCTCGCTAGCGGAGCTCGCTGCGAAGTACACCTTATGGCAACGGAGATCTATTCTAACAGCACGTGGTGCAAGCGGGGATATTTCTGGCAATCGATCTTCATTCATCCAGAGGAAGTTAACCATGGACCCAATTCATCTAGATACCTCTCAAAGCGGTCTCTGGAAACCAACGGGGGGCTCTGCCGACGATGATGACACTTCATGGATGATCACTAACACTCCGCCTACGGGGACTTTAAGTCGTGCATCTACACTTTCTGACATGAGCGAAATTTCGCCAACCGCCTCGGCAGTTGACGTATACGAGCCTAGGATCAGGTCTCATTCCAACAATCCCAGCATTTCCTCCACTAGCGGGCTCTGGCGACCGTTCTCCAATAGCTCATCGTCTAGGAAGGCGGGGCTGTGGTCAAATGATGAGACTTCAGCGCCCTTTGTGGATTTAATTGGTGACATTAGGACCGAGAGGATTCCTTTGCCCACACAGAGGGAAAGGCCACTCGAGACCTTTGATAGCTCTCATAATTTGTGGCAGCCGGAGATCTTGTGTGATTCGAAGGTAAAAACATCCTCGGGCGCTAGATAGTTCCATATCTAACGGAGTTACTCTAGACAATACGATCGAACTCTGACGCGTCCGAGTATTGCACTGGGGGCTCGGTTTCTGAATTATCAGATGACTCTTTCTATTCGGCTATGGGTGCACACAGCGAGCATGGTGGTGAGGAGAACGTCCCTTCAAATGTATTTGTTGGTCAATTCCGAAGAGACAACTACATGATTCGTGAGTTCTACAACTATCTCCGTTTCCGGATCTTAGCACTAACAACCTGCAGACAGTCAAGCACCCGAGCAGAAACTAGCGGAGGATTCCCCATTTGCAAGCCATTTGAGAATCCCCTCACTCAGGCGCAAACTCCGACCAGCAGAAGAGAGGAAGGGGCGGAACACAGGTGTAACTGAGGGGCAGATTTCCGAAGCAGGGGCGACGGAGAAGGTTGTGGCTCCGGGTGCAGGATATCTTTGGAGTAAGGGAACTGTTTGAAGCTATTTAATGTTTGGGTAGCATGGCGTGGATTGATCTAACGCATAGCACGGATAACTGCGGTATCATAAGTTGTCTTCTTTTCCGTCCATTATTTATATCTTTATTTCCCTCTTCTCTCCTTTATTCCTGTATTAACTATCTCTGTAAAGATAATGGAAAGCAGCATTAGGTTATGTTTATTAATAATGAGCGTCTTATGTGTCACAATTCGCATATATACTTCCAGATGAAAGTATACCGTGGCGCACGCGCGTCTGTGCCAAGAACGGCACCATACACGAATAAGCCAATTAATGAAATATACTCGTAACACACGATTTAATTGTTTCCAGATTCTATGGGAGGCTAAATTGCGCTTCCAGTGTCGGAAGTCACGGACAGTAGATCGGAGGTTGAAGATAAGGTAATATCAAGAGTATATGAAACGGTATTCTTTGAGGAAAGAAAGAATTTCTTGCGTCCTCGAGATGATGGATAAACCTGAAATTGACCTACTTATAGTAACCAGCAATGTCTAACTTATATACACCAACATGACTCTTATCATTTCCAAAATCCCAATGTCCCAGGTAGTAGCACGGTATGGCGGGTGTCGTGATACATATACCCATGCTTTCCATCACATTGAAGTCATACATCCGACTTCTAGCCCAACCATGACCCGAGTGACATTCAGTGAGAACCTTGGTTACCCGACTTTAAGCACTCACCACAATCCTCACTGACTGCAAAAACTCACCCCGACATCCTACCCCCAACAGTCCGAGTAAGTCCCTCTCCTCACCCACAGCCCCCGGCTAATCCCCCCAGTGCCCCGCCGCTCCCGACAAACCACAAGCGACGACGGTTGGACCAACATCCCCGCCAGACACAAACCCCCCAAAACCCCTTCAGAGCACCAAAAACGAACCTCCCTCTCCTACGCATTTCAACAACAAGCTTCCCCCATCACCCCGGAGCAAATAACCTCCCATCTGAGCCCGTACACACAAACACTCCTCAAGTCCACGCTATGGGCGCAAATTCGCAACATGCTTTTTCCGCGGGCACGGGAGTTGAATAGACTGGTTGTTTTTGGCCTGGGCAGTTTTTCGGGGCTTACCGCTTCATCAACGTATTACCAGTTTGCACTCGTGCGAGAGGTAGCGGAACTGCTGAAGATTAGGAAGGGGGAGGTATACTTTCAGGATCCACTGTTTACAGAGTGGGACAGGGCTTTTCTAGAGGGTGTTGGAAGTGTGGTTGAAGTTGGGTCGGGGGAAGAGGTGGTACAGGAGGGGACGGTGGTTGTGGCGGTCCATTTGGAGTATGGGGTTCTTGAGGGGGTTCTTGAGGGAAGACCGGGGGTGGCGGTGTGTAATGATCTGGGGCACTTTTTAGATATGTGAGTGACCGATCCTCCTCCGTCGGTTTTTCGGGGGCTTTTCCCAAGGGGGGCGGTGCTAATGGCAAGGGTGGATAGGAGGATCGGTGGGGAAGTGGAGTGGGTGAGGGCTTTTTTGGAGGGTGTTGAAGGGGAAGTTTTGAAGTGGGATATCGGCAGCGGGGGGGCATTTAATCACTCGGCGGTTTACTGGAGGAAGGGGGCGGAAGATTGCCGGGAGGTTGAAAGTGATAAAGTGGATGGTGAGAATGCGGTTGAAGCCGTTATTGAGAACATTGGGTCTGTTAATACATAATTGCTGCTCCTGGGTTTTTGCTCAGGGGTGGCTCACCTTCACTCGTGGGGAATTATCTGCTATCATAATATTATATCAGAGGTTTGTTTGTACATGGTTGGTATCATAACTCGTGACGTCCAACTCCGAAATCGGGTGAAATGCCCCGAGCGAGATTCTCATAAGCCATGAGTAGTGTAGCACTCCTCCGCTATGCCCTTACCTGTGTATTGTATGACATGGTTTCTCTTCCCTCGAGGGAGCACGCCCCTACAATGCGTTTTTAATAATGTAATAAAATATAATATCCTAAACCTTAATCTTAGCCTTAAATGAAAAGACCCAAAAACGCTCAGGATAAGTATCATACCTATTCTCGTGATGGGATTACATGAATACCTAATCTACGCAGCGCAGTGACCAATATCTCAAGAACTAATTATCCCCCGTGCTATTAGTAGGATCCCGGGGGTTCGATTCCATCCGCGAGTTACCATTGAGCGGTTCATCAAGTGGGACTATCATAGAAAAACAAATCCTATGATACCCCATAGTGAGTGGGAGATTGAAACCTTAGCCCTCCTCAATAAGGCTATGGGGCAAACCAATTCTAACGGGGGGATATGATAGTATGATACGACAGAAACCGACTCTGGACCGCACGCTAGGGGTGAGATCCGTCATCGGTGGGATAGCAAGCAAGAGAGTATCATAATATAAAAAAAAAATATTATAATAATGTCATGTTAATAATATAATACCGTTATTACTATGGTGAAGCGCACTTAGAGAGGGCACCATATAATACTCGTGGTGTGTTTTAATAATATTATATAAAAAAGAGTTGTTCCGCCCCTGATTTGGAAACAAGCGACGGCGAATCCTGGAGGCCATACAGACTCTGGCACAAAACATGACTGAACTGGTCCGTGAGGGTGGACATCTAAGATACCACTAACCCCCCTCCTTCCCCATTGCCCGCCATGAAACCTCGCTGTACAGTCGTGTCTGAAAAGTCTACGTACTGTACCCCTGCTTGGCAACACCGCAACCAATGATTACCTCAACATCACCCCCTACCATGGCACCACCACACTCCCAAACCCTCAGAGAAGACCAGAAAAGGGAAATCTATGCCCTCTATAAACATACTGATATGGGGTATGGTAAATTTTCAAAGCTTATGAACCTCTCCAAGTTAACTGTTTCAATAGTAGTCAAAAATGCGAAATCTAGAGATGAAAACACCCATAATGCCCCCAGATCTGGTAGACCAACCAAGATTACTGATGCTAAAAGGGAATTAATTCTTGATATTATTGATGCTGAGCCTTATTTAGCCCTAAGAGACATTACTCAAAAAGCCAATATTGGACTTAGAAAAGATACTGTTAGCAAGATATCCAAAGAAGCTGGATTTAAGCTTGGGATACCTAGGAAAAAGCCTTTTTGGAGGAAAGGACAGAAGGAGAAGAGAAAGGAGTTTGCTAGAGTGAGGAGGAACTGGACAAGAGCTTGGAAATGGGTGGTTTTTGTGGATGAAGCCACAATTGAATATGATCCAAATCCAGTGAGAAGAAAGGTCAGACTTAGACCAGGTGAAAAGTTGGAAGAAAAGAACTTAAAGCCAAGCTTTAAGTCAGGGCACACCAACATAGGTGTATATGCTGCAATGATGCATGGAGGGAGGACTGAGCTCATTCTTGTGAGGAAGAGGACTGAGGAGGAAAGGACCAGCAAAAGAGACAGACTTGGTCTCAATTCCCACCAATATGCAACTGAGATTCACCAACCCTACCTCATCCCCTTCATAGAAGCCATAGACAGAGCTCCTCAAACTATCTATATGGCTGCTGATAATGTATCATGGTATAATGGAGCAGAAAACAAAAAATTGCAAGAGGACTGTGGATATCAAAGATTGGCTTGGCCTCCCAACTCACCAGATCTCAATCCTATTGAGAATGCCTGGGCAATTCTCAAAAGAGCACTCAGAAAGCGATTCTCCAAGATTGAGAGAAGGCCCCATAGTGCTGCTGAATTATTTCAGGCAGCAAAGGAAGAGTGGGACCTCATTCCCCAGGGGACATTTGATGGATGGATTTAGAGGATGCCTGAGAGACTTCAGGCTGTATTAGATGCAGATGGAAGCCATACAAAATGGTAGCATTGGGAAACTGTTTTTTTCTATTTCTACTATTATCTATTTTAAAATTGTACTCATATCTATTTTTTGTTGTGGTCAATATCATTATTTGTAGTGGTAGTGCCGTTGCCTTGAGGGGTACGTAGACTTTTCAGACACGACTGTACTTCCCTCCCCCCCTCAAAAAAAAAAAAAAAAAAAAAAAACGCTGGGCTCGAGCGGCTACTAGGAATAGAAGATATAATGCCCGTTCAATAGTTGAAATGAAGTCCAGGCCCCTGCTAGAACCTGCCTAAACCCTAGCTATCACAGGATCTCGTACAGTAATATGTTATCACAAGAGATCACTCGCCTCCTGGTCATTGGTAAGTCGCATTGCGATATGATGCTAGTACCGTACCCATGACGGCCAGCTTGAAATTCGGACACAACTCCCAGAGGGGGAGATCCAGGTAGAAGAGAGATATTTTAGCACTTGATCAACTCGGTGTATAGGCTTGTTTTATAAAGACGACCTTGAGCAGCTCGGACAGGCATTGATAATTTGCTGGTTTGTTGTGAGGAAGCCGGCCACTGATGGCTATAGTTGTGACAGTTCATCGGGTTTACCATGGGAAGCGTTTTAGTTCAAGGTTATGTCGACCGTCTGAGTGGCCGTGGGGTTTCGTCTACTATATAAACTGATATCATATTCCCTCTCCATGCTCCTCACACGAGAAATGGCCCGGGAGCTGGAAGAGGCGCCTCCCATCAAAGAGAGCCCTTTATCGAGGTTTTCTTCCTTGCGCCATATCTACCTATTATGGTTGTCGCTCGGGGGGTTTGGCTAGAGGCTCGAGCCCGGGTAGGTTACGATCCGAGTCGGGGCGACCCCAGGCAAACTTGGTCAAAGTCGGGGCGCGGAGCGAAGGGGCAGGAAGAAGTATCATACAAGTGCCAGGGATAATGTTTTCGCACAGTTAATTTAGGTTAACCCGCCAAATAATCCCTGTCCCGTACGAAAACATCTCCCCCCCCCTGGCACTTGTAACGTTAGGTGGGGGATCATCTTTCTCGACACCGTTGCGGTAACAAGATAATTATTATTATTATGATATTGGTTAGAGAGTTGGACTCGTGATACTCGGGGATCCGAAAAATGTTCCTTCGGGGTAGCTGTGAGGGTACTATGGAATAATTAGTTCTGCTGAATACATTTTAATTACAATTGTTAAAAAAAAATCTGCCCTTTGTCCATCTTCTTTCTCTAACATTTCACCCACTGTCTCAAGGACCCTTGGAAAAAATTGCCTGCCCCGCCCCGACCTCCATCCACCCAGTATCTCGTTATTCAATCTCCCAATCTCCAACCTCTCCATAGTCCAACTAGCACGTTCTCCTGATCACCGATATCCCGTTTGGTACCCACAAATCACAGTGATACTAAAGAACTAAAACAGGTCAATTCAGGTATAGTACCAAACCGACCACAGGAACACAGAACACCAGTCTTCTCTAACATTGAATGCTTGGAAGTGAGATTCCCCGGCAGTGAGCTCATAAAACAGAAGTCTTGCGAATCTCGAGAGTGGAGTTGGAAAAGCGGGGGGATGATCATGAGGGGGGCTTAGCATTGTTTCCTCCTAATCCCTTCTAGTGGATCTACCAATAGTAAGAAGTCTCCACTCTCTAGAAGCCCAGGAAAACTCGAAAACTCGGCGGGAATTGTCACAACCGCACAGAAATCGCGCCCAAATATTCCTAACCGGAGTGTTCCGCTACCAGCCCTACAATCGAAATTCCACGAGATGGAGCCAAAAATAATCTAGTCTTTTTGGCAATTGGTATATGCGGTGTGGTAGAAAGTCCTGATGCTGTGGTTCGGTTTGGGATAGTTGCGCCCATGGTAATTTTACATGCCCATCGCACAAGCAGACCTCTGGGTGGCGCAAAACACCGTGATGTGATGTTTGCTCTATTCTAAGATTGAGGGAATTCTCTCCCTAAGAGAGATTCCGAGTTTTTCGGTGGCGGTACCGGCAAGATATTCTTGGGGTGAGTAAGTGTCATGGTGAAGAGAACGCTATCTGACCATCGTTTATGGTTATAAAGCGTTTATATGTTTGCGCCCGATTTAAACATGGCCTACTAATCTAAACTGCACTCAGGCTAGAGCCGGGCCCTAAAAAGCATAATCCGGTCTGAAGACACGAAAAACGTGTGCAGCCCTATTTTCTTGCTAACAGTCTCCCATACACCCACCATCCAAACTTCTAAGACCACCTCTAAAGCCCCATCACACGATCAAGCACGACAACCCTTCACTGCCTATCGCATCCGACAGATAACAGTCTTACAACACAAGTGATCCTAGCGTTGCCGTACATCACACACTCCGAGTACGCAAATACCGTCTTTCGAACAAGTGCAGAAAATGTCCACCGCCGGTACACAGTGCACCGCCTCCAGCCACCACCTCAACCACAAGAAACCCCTCCTGCCCGGCCCCCGAATAAAAACACCCCAGAACACGGTCCTCACGCATGCTCACTCGTTCAGCCGTACCAGCGAAACGAAAGAAGGAGGGTAAAATGGGAAAAGCAACCACTCAGCCACTCTGCAGGGTATCATTAAGAAGGCTTCTAAACAGCACTTCACCACAGGTACTTTGGGCAAGTCTGCGCATCACTCCGTGAGGCTATTGGTAGGAGCGAAGTTTAGCGATTGAGCAAGATGGCGAGTGAGAGGTTGTGACTCGCTCTAGTAGGTGGGGTTAGATATTTTGATGTTGGGGCATCCCTGCTATCAGGTCTTTATCAACCGGGCACTCGCGCCGGTAGACTACTTGGGAAGGAAGGAAGTTGTCCCCAGCCAGATGGAGCAAAGGCCCCGCATCCAGATCAATCCACGAAAGGATTCTCGCATCTTTACTCCAGTAATTCACCCAGAACCGAGCAAGTCAAAAAATAATATCACATCATAGAGCGTAGCACAAGGTGCAAGACTCGCAGTACGAAGCTCTCCATTCGAGTACCGGTACTTGTGCCGTAGTTGCGATGCAGGACGAAGGAAAAGGAAAAAAAAAACCGGTACGCTCCAGGAAAATAGGCAAGAGCTTCCATAAACCGAGCCTGAATAGGCCAATACTCTGACCATCACCACCACCACCCCCGGATGTCGCCGGGTGGTCTAAACCCTTACGGTCTCATACAAGTTAAAAAAAGGTTATGCTTTTATTCGAATATAATTCGGTGCACACCTCCAGAATACACCTCCACAATGACCGTACCGCGCTGTGCTCCTCTTCACCGCGCCAGCGTTCGAGTCGTGGGGCTTTGGTGGGGATATTGTGTTTTCCGAAAGTTTTGATCCCGCCAGTCCCAAACGAATATAGTTGTTTGTCGAATTCATAAAAGGCAGAACGCCACTTTTTAGGTGGATAAAACTTGGCTCATAAAGATGGCTTCCAGACCCCGAGAGCCAGCGGCCTGTCGAGAGGGCTGGTGGATGGATTTTTGCTCCGAGCTCCCGAGCCCACTTGTAAAAACATAGGGTTGGGAATGGATTGAACCAATTGATTGATGGATTGGTTGATTCGTGACAGATCGCGATCTGCAGCCACTTTTTATTCTTGTTTTATCTTTCGGCCTTCTTCACAGAGAGCCCATACCTCCTCGAGCACGGTGTGCTGTCTGTACTGTACTGAGTTGTCTTCAGCCGCATGAGATGGATTACCATACGGTACCGTACCAGTGACAGTACGGTACTCGACTCGAGTGCAAGGAAAAAAATTCGACCTTGGGGTTTTTTCTAAAAATATTCCTCACGTGATGGGTGAATTCGTTACAAGTACTGTACGAGTACTAGTACGAGTACTCGAGCACCGTATGGTACTTGTATCATAGATTTTTTCTTTTTCTTGACCCTCTTTCCTCATCCTCCTTTCGAGGAGGAGTGTTACGCTTTTAGGGTGTCATGATTGATGCTGCCTCCCCGGATTTCCCGAGGTTTGGGGTGGGTGGGGAGGGGAGGGGAGGGATAAATAGTGAGTTCCGAGTGCATTGGACGGGGGCTGGGATGGGATCGAAGAGTTTTTGAGAAGTGTGTGGGGGCAGAAATGAAGCTTTTCAGAAGGTAGTGAGTGATAGTCCCTGCTGTATGGTTGCAACGAGTACGGTAAGTCTCTACCCCTGTGAATGGGAGGGCTTTTATGATATTGTCATACCGGTGCAAATTATTTTTTAGTCTTCTTGCGGGGCTGGGGACGAAGGGACAAAGGAATAGACAGACGGGGTTGGATCAATCGATCTGTTTCCCTCATTTACAATATTAATTTGTTATTTTTCTCGGCTTCTGACGCGTGGTTGGGGGTTTCTCGGTTCGAGGATTCCCTCCTTCAGAAAAGAAAAGAAAAGGGAATTACCGGGCCGTAGTGTATCCTAGCACTATACTCGTACTCGAGTACTTGTAGTTCCAGTACGACGAGTACGGGCAGAAGTTCGTGCTCCAGCATCTCTTTGGGCGGCCCGGTTGTCCTGAGCAACCGTCTATCCTCCAAAATTCGAGCTGGATGCCCTCCCGCATAAACAACCAGGATACTATACAAACTCGAGCATCTCTGAGAGGCGAGCTCTCTCAACCTCTCTGCTCCCTCCCTCTCCCTCTCCCCCTCCATCCCCATCTCTATTTCTCCCAATTCTCTTTACCATCCTCCTTCATCCTCATTCTCCCTACACACATTTTTGTGCATCTCTATACTATTCTATACCCAATTTGTCACTCTCCCCATAATATTAATCGTACAAGCATCTCCACTCCGCATAAACACTCTCCCCCGCTTAATTTCTCCTGGTCTGTTGTCTCGTATTTCTGAGAGATCCCGTAGATTGTAAGTCATTGCTCGTGTGCTCTGAGCACAAACTGATTCCCTGCCCCAAATTACCATAATTTTGCTAGCCTCACTCATGTCACCTCACTCATGACACTAACGAAAAAAAAATCGCCTCAGCTCCAACACGTCCGACCCGCCCCTTTGGAGGTAAGCGCAAGGGGGAACCAAAAAGGCCCCCCTTTCCGAATCACGAAAAGCTCAAAGTGGAATAACCCCCTGCCGGTACATCAGGTGCTACTAGGGAAAAGGGAAGGAAATACCCGCGATCCTTAGGCTATAAACGAAAAGGGGGGGTTACGCGGTCCACAAAATGTCGAACCTTCAACGAAACTTTTCCTTCCAGGCACACGACGACAATCCGGCCTACCATCCCCTCAATTCTCCTAGCGACTCTCCCCAGCAAACATCAATGGCTCAAAATTCGCAGCCATTCACTGGCGACAATCTAGAGAGATTGGATGATAGGAGTAGCCCGCACAGCGGAGTTCCCGCTGAGCGTTGGGAAGGACACCCTGCAGATTCCACCGATAGAGCTCCGGACGAAGGGTATAGGCATGGCGTGGAAGGCGAGAATGAGTACTCCGGAGCGTGGTCGAATCGCGGCCAGCAATCTGCCTCTCGGAATCCGTCGCCAGTGACTGCTGCCGAAGGGGGGGGACCCGCAAACAATGGAGGTGAGAATAACATTGAAACCAGCAATGCTGCGTTACTCTATCCCAACCCCTCTGAGAATGACCCCCGATTAACACCCACTGGCGAGCACCAAGAAGACGAGGGGTACCTGGGCCCGGAACTAGGATACGCGCAAGGTAACCGCCGATCAGGCTACTTTACCAGAGAAGGAGATCAGTATGACAATTTGAATTCATCGCAGCGAGGTTTGGTGACGCCTGGATCTACATCACCACCACTATATCCGCCATCAGCCTCTTCACCTTTTTCTCAGGCACCGCTGATAGGCGGAACATCAGCTCCCGCGCCTCCAGCGCATGGACTCGGCGCTCTGGAGAATAGGTCCAGTGATAGGGTGTTGTCTACCCCTGTCGGTGGTCACTATACAGATAATCCGTACAACCGCTATTCGACCACGTGGGATCCGGTATTAAGCTCAACGCAGGTACAGGTCGACGGCAACGCCGATACCTATGTATTAAGCGACGACGAGGAGGAGGCGCATCGACGTGGAGCCGCAGCAGCAACGGGTGCTGCAGGTGGAGGTGTGTTGGCCGCTTTAAGTTCTAGGGTTGGCCGACCGGCTCCCAGCCATGTCTCCCCTGGTGCTGCTGGCGCGGCCGGGGCTGGGGGCGGGGGAAGCGGGGTCATTGAGAGGGGCGGCCTATTGGGAGGAAGCGATGGGGGGTCAGGAAATCTTAATAATGGTAGGGCCGAGATCTTGACTCTTTCTCAAAACACTAAAACCCTATTAATACTAATGGCGGGTGGTAATAATGCAGAGAAAGTTGCGCAATCCGAATGGCTACGATCACAGACGAAGTCGAAGAAAAAGCTCCGGTGGATCATTGGCCTCATACTAATCGTCTTCATCCTCGGCGCGGCAGGAGGCATATCTGCGGGAGTAGTCTTGTCTAAGAAGAACTCTGGGGGCTCCTCCTCGCCATCTACGCGGGAAGCGAGTGGGGGTGGAGGGTCTGGACTTTCCGGAGAAGAGGATATCAAGCAGAATGGCGATTTGAACAGGGACTCGCCGGAAATCAAAACTCTCATGTCAAACACCAGGTTTAAGAAGGTTTTCCATGGGATGGACTACACTCCTCTCAACGCGGTCTACCCTGACTGTACTTCTCCACTGTGGTCTACTTGGAGATCATCCGATTATGCTGACATGCTTTAGGCATCGGAAACCCCCCAACCCAGAACAACATCACCCGCGATATCGCCATCATGTCCCAGTTGACCGATAAGCTGCGCCTCTACGGCACCGACTGCAACCAGACAGAAATGGTCCTCCACGCAATAGACATGCTAAAGGTCGACATGAAGATCTGGCTCGGTGTCTGGCTAGACAAGAACACGACAACCAACACGCGCCAACTTGGCCACCTCTACAAACTTTTGGACACTTATCACTCGGACCGTTTCGAAGGTATTGCCGTAGGCAACGAAGTCCTCTTTCGAAAAGAGCTCACCGAGACCGAGCTCTTTGGAATCATAGACGACGTACGGCACAACCTCACATCGTTGAATATAAAACTCCCAGTGGGGACTTCAGACCTTGGATCGAACTGGAAGTCAACTATGGTATCTAGTGTCGACGTACTCATGGCGAACGTACACCCGTTCTTTGCCGGTGTAGTTGTAGAGAAAGCTGCGAACTGGACGTATAACTTCTTCCAGCAGAACGACGTAATCCTGACGGCAAACCTCGCCACAAAACCCCGCGTCATGATCAGTGAAGTTGGGTGGCCCAGCGGCGGTGGTAACGACTCTGGAAGCGTTGCGGGTATTTCCGAAATGAATAGGTTTATGAAGGACTTTTTGTGTACGGAAAATAGTCGGGGGACGGAATACTTTTGGTATGCTCTTTTTCAACTTCTTTTACGTGAATGGGACTAATATGAAGGGATAGGTTCTCTGCCTTTGACGAGCCCTGGAAAATACGATACAACGAACCGGAACTCGGCAAAGAATGGGAGGACAAGTGGGGGCTTATGGACGTGAACCGGAATTTGAAGGATGGGTTGGTGATTCCGGATTGCAAGTAATCCACTTTTCTCCTTCCTCACTCTCACAATATTCCACCTACTTTGGTTTGGTTGCTTTTGGAGTGGGTAGGTGGGGGTCTGCACAGATGGCTTGGAAACTTACCATGCCGAAAATGCTTATTTTTCATCAAGTACTATTCTTGATTATTGTCCGGCGTTTTTGACTCTTTCATTCTGGGAACCTTTTTTCGAGCAGCGGTGTTTTTTCTCGTCGCCCTTTACTTTTAACTTTCATGAGGGGGAATTATTTCTTTGGGACTCGCTCAGTGGTCTAATTTTGGTTTCGATCTTGGTAAAGAGGGATAAATCTCATCTCTTGCTCTTTCTTCTAAAATGTATGGGGTGTGCTCCCCATTTTCCGTGTCGGTTTCTACCTATATATCTTCTGTCTGCTTGGGATGCATGTAGTCTAATGAGAGGATTTAAATATTATCCGGAATTATGTTTTATCATACAAAATTTTCAAGTTATCAAGTTGGAGTTTGGGCATAATTATCGTGGTGCATCACACATACTCACTCGAAAAGGTATTGGCCTTTACTGATATAATATTCCCAGTGGACACCCATATGTGTGGTACCATACGGCCACTGTTCTTGCAGGGCTGAAAACAGAGAAGCAGTTTAAGACGGTAAACGGTAGTTGGCAAGTAAAAACTGCCTTGCCTACTTTTATAGACATGGAAGAAGTAAGGTGGAAAACTTGTTGATTCGCAGAGGAGAGATGCCATCGCACACAAGTATCATACCCGGAGCAATGGCCACTCAGACTCACTCATAACATATCATATCAATATTATGATACAACAGTAAGTGGTTACCCATACCCTATGTTATAACCCCTAACACCTTTGTAGTATCGTATTAGATTCAAGCCTTAGTATCATATTCTAAATGCCCCCTCTACTTTTCCTGTATCATAAGCTTGGCAGGTTATTTTCTGGGTATGATAATTTAGTTTTTAGGGTAACTCTTAGCCGAGGGTTTCCCCTATTCTCCACCACATATGATACGATAGTATCATATCTTGTCTCCTTATCACAAAACTCCACCCGCGATTCAGAACGTGCGGGCAAACCATCCCTACCCTGGGCCCCCTTGATTGGCCCTTCCAATACAAGTATGATATCATACAACCCGAACGTTTCCTTTGGGTTTCGTGGATACATACGGGTTAATGGGCTATATAGTGGCTAGTCATACCGTAAGTAAGTTTTGCCGGGCCCTTGCTACAGAAATTTCGGAAGGGGATAAGACGTTTGAATGGACGTTTGAGTCGGGTTTGAGTCGGGTTTGGAGAAGGACGGTTATAGCATACAGACTGCTATAATGTCAAGAATATCCACTATCACACCCTAATATATTACCCCCTCCCTAGTGTTGGACGTCAATGGGGGTTACTTGGTTTCGGTTCTTTTTGGCGCGTTTTTGGAAAATCGATTTACGATACTTCCCCGTGAAATTTGGGGTATTCGTTCCAAATTTCTAGGGGAAATCATCAAATATGCTCAATTTGAGACAAATATCGCCAGTTCCAGGACCAGATACAGTACTGTGCAACGCAGCCTTGTATCATCCATCGACAGAAAACAGCCGCAAACAGAGCTTGCCGAAAACACGTATATTATTTCGAGACATCCTCGAAGCCTAGATCCTTACAACATTATGGTGAGGTCGGACACTATCGATACTCGAGTACACTTACCGCATCCCAACCCGGTTAACTTTTCCCCACCTTCGGTCGCACCTCACTTTTATGCACTTTCGAGTGGGGTGGGGTGTCGCGTAATTCGGAGATCTAGATCTAGTTCCCGCTGAATAAACATCTGGAGGTGGGGGTACGGGAATGCCGGTACAGAATGCCGGTACAAGTACCGTACTGGCACTTGGGGACTCTGCGGTTCCTGTTGGCCGGTTGTCTGGGATAGGTGCTGGATCTCACTCGCAAGCTACCGGGAGTGTGTCGTGGAGACGCGAGAGATTGGCTGTCGAGTGAGATCGGCTCCGGGATGTGCGGTGTAGGGTGTTCTGTGGGAGTCATGTGCAGGGACTTTTTGAGTTGAGATACTGTGAGACGATGATACTAGATAAAAGGAAACCCTCATTCTACTAAGCAGCCCCCAGCATTTTTTTTTTAAACACCACATGAGATCTTGCTTATTGGATAGGATAATTTAAGTAACTCTTGCTGCATGTCGACCTGCACCTGCCCCCCCGGAAAGTACTCGCGAAGCCCCACCATAAGGTCGGCATTATGCCCTGAACAAGTTATCACATGTCAAGAGTGTCGTGGTATCATACTTCTACGATATACCATACACTTGTGGATATACGATGCTGTCCAACTCCCGTCCTCCCCCCGGCCAAACCTGCCCTCTTCCATCATCAAGGTTCCTGCTATGACCGTTCCTTTAAACACAACCGAACCTTTTTGCCACCAACCAGTGATCAACATCCATAATTTCCGCTCTCATGAGAATGTAAAGCAATTATATAGCGATAAGTATAACTTAAACTATTATCCTTAAGCTCAGACAGAAAAAGTACGGTATTAGTTACTATCACACTGTGTGAAATACCTACTTTGTGCAGTGGTTAATGCGTCAAGAACCGGTTAACTCCAGCACACTTAGCAGGAGCCCAGGTGTTCAATTCCTGCTCACAAACAGAGTTATTGTTGAACAATCCACCCCGCAGGGCAGGAGAATTAACGAATCCTGCCCTGTGGGGACTGGGAGACTGAAGAGCCTTAGCTTTCCTCAATATGGCTATACGGCAAACCAGGCCTGCTATGGTACGGGGTGGCATAAAATCAGACTCTGGACCATGCACCACAAGGGTGAGGTCGCGATTGGCTGGGTAGCAGAAGGAAGACAGGAATCAAGAACAAGTTTTCCTTCTTAAGATTCCTCCTCCTCTGATTTGTGACAGTAGCTGTAAAAAAGTTTTAGGTACCCCGGTGCCCAGTGCGATGTGGTAAACACTGACAATTAACTTCTATCTTCCGCAGTCTTGTATATTAATTGCCCAACCAAAATATCCCCATAGCATACTACTTGTACTATACCACTATGATACTTTATTTATCAGTCACTCGGAATCCACATTCTGATTGTAACCCGAACTAACCTGAGCTTGCCACATCTTGCCACTCTTACCAAATACTTCATAATCCTATAGAGTTCAGGGTACGGCTACTACCACAGGAATGCTTCCGCAGATTGTGGAATGCTCCCAAGGTTGCTGTCATTCGAGACGGCAAATAAAACCAAGCACTGAGATTCCTACCCAGCTCTTTCATTCTACCTGTTCACCTAGTTTTTGGAATAGATATTATTGGCATGCCCCCGGACCATCGGGACCACGGCCCGAAATACGCTTTTGTGCCTCCGACCAAGTCAAAGACATTCACCTTTCCCCTCTTTCCTCTTCTGCGTCCTCCCCCACTTGGCGCAGCTGCACCCAGCATGCCATGGTTGCATCGCTACCCACCGGTGGTTGAGGGGTGCACTCATCAGATATGCTATATGGCCGGGTCCCACTTGTCTGATAGGTGTACAGTACTTATAATATCATAGATAGATAGTACAGTCTTCAGTGGGGCATGAAGAAAGCCGGCGGATGGCGAACGAGGGTACCTGGTGGGCCAAAAACGATTCATCAAAGTAGGGTATCATACCAAAAAATACCTGCTATCGTACCGATCCTTGTTCCACCCCCAATTTTCGTCGTGCTTCCGTTGGATACTACGGGCCGAGGATGCGGGTCCAGCTGCTCGGGGGCACGGGACAGTCAGTGAGATCGTGGGCAGAGTAGCCCCTTGTACGGCACTATGGTTTGTGTCGGGAGGATAAGGACAGAGTGCCGTACAGTATGATACCGTAAGAATTGGAACAATCGAACCTCACATTGAGATGTCCGGAACCCCCCTGACAAAAACTTACCCTCGGTCCCAGTCTGGGACCAATAAAAAAGAAAAAAATATATATATATAGCAGATCTTACTAGGAGAGGCGGCTCCAGCGTCCTAGTGCGAGTTTCAATTAGTTCCAGCTCTTACAGCACTATACCTCGACGGTTTCGATAGCACTGGAGCACAGGTATTGTACTCGTATTTCTCAACCACGATGTGTCTCCCCCCCCATTCGTAGTAGTAAGTAAATTTATCAGTTTTTTTCCCCTCAGAAGCAGTGCTCGAGTATAGTGCATAAGTAGTGCACGACTAGCAGGAGATTTAACTACATAGGGAATTTGTTGAGTAGATACACGAAGTCGCCGGTTTTATGCCATGAACTTGGAACCCGACATACCGAAACCTAGACATCCTCTTGAAGACTTGCCTTGGCTGTTTCTTCCTTAACCTGTAGGAAGATTGATGGCTGCTCGGAGATGATGCCGGCGTATACTTGGGCGCAAGTCGGGTTACCGTGCACAGAAAACGAAAGATACAGCAAAATCCAACGCCTGTTGTACTATAACTTAGTCTGCGCGCAAGTACATCGTACATGAAGGCTAATAATAGCTGCTCTAGTTGACTCGGAAAGGCATCTTTGAGTGAATTTGATGATGTTGAACTTTCTTGCCACTCATTTACGCAATCTTAATAGTCTCTGATACTAGTTGCACGCTAGTTGCACACTGCTAATAATACAGCAGCTAGGCTCTACGATAGAAAGCAGTTGTGAGATAGTCTCTCATTCCTATTTATAGCTTGGCAGCTGGCCGAGCCAATGGATTGATTCACTGGCTTATTCCCATCGGCTCCAGCTTCAGGCACCCGACCATGACTTCATTCGCCCAAGTTTTGTCAGAACTCCAACTCTTGTGAGATGACATCTTCAACCGTTTCAACCCACTACCGATATGTTCCGGTGTTTCGGTTTTATCGCAGTAGAAATTCGGGAACGTATTAGACCGGGAACTGGGCCAGACCTCGTAATGCGAATCTTGTTCAAATCCTCATTGAGAGGGAGGAAAAAAATGGTAATCAAACATCCGGACTCGAGTCAGAGAAGGACTAATCTAAAATACTGCGCTATAAAGAAGATCTACTACCTTTCCAAAAAATACCCCCCTAGCAGCTTATTAGACGTCAATTGGGATTTCCGGATTTCCGCTCGTTCGGCCAATCCGTTGCCCCGGCTGACCTCACTCCTCAGTCCGCCAATTATGGTAGATGAATGGTTGGGTAAGTTCAACATAGGGAGATGGGTGTTGGGAAAATGAGGCCGATGGAGGCGTTTCTTGCATAATCTTGCGGACCCGGAGACAATAGGCAATTCACTCTATTCTGAGGTGGCTTCTATTCTGGCGCGGCCCCTGACTGCCGCTGGTTGCACGATATCGGTTGGGGAGTGGGCGCGACATTATGGCGTATCTCACAGAAGGCGAGCCGTTGGA